CGCTAAAATATTATTTATAAATTGACCACAGACAATACAACATTTTAGAAGAAAAAAGTTTTTTTGTTTATACTTGCTTGTGACAAAAACCGGGGTTGTTGGCCAACCCATTACATAGGAATTTATTATTTACATTTAGTCTAGAAGTGTTTATAATCATTTACACAAAAATAGAGAATCGTTAAAATATTTCAGAGTCGTAGAACAAGAAATTGTAGTGATAGAAATCCCGTGTTTATTAGGTTTTGATGTAACTCAATGAGTCTGTATTATTCTTTATGAACATCCGGAATGTATCGAGAACGACACGTTTGCATATTTATTGGGTCCGTGCTGAGGTTCTACTCGCTGGGAGTGTTGGATATGGCAGAAAAGGCATGAAAGCAGGATGAGAACCTACTGTTTCTTTTATTAACCGTCTTTTAAAAAAGGAGGAGGTTCCTAATTCGAGTATGTTTTTTTTGTATGTATGTTACGCGATAACCGATTTTGATGATTCTTTTATGTTGGAAAGAGATGGTCCCCCTCAGAAGTGGTCCCATTTAAATTTGAAGAAAGTATTCAACCTCTCAAAGGGTGACAAATTAGGGGTTGAACGACTTTTAAGATCGGTTTTTTTTATGAAAGAACAAGTGTTTATTTCACCACGTGTGTGAACCACGTGATCTTCTAAAATACGCCGTAATATCTAAGAGACATGAACAAATTTGACATATCGACTATGAACTGGCAACCGGTATTAATCTCAAGAAAAAATCATTTATGTAGCAACTGGTTTATTAAATAAAAATACGTAGTGTACCTACATACATACATACATACATGTGTAATAAAAATATTTAAAATCTACGTATTTTTATTTAATAAACCAGATGCTATATAAATGACGCAAACAATATTTTTCTTCACTTGTAAAGTTGTCAAAATTGAGATAGTACCGATTGCCAGTTCACAGACGATATGTGCCAGCTCCTTTCAAAACCCGAACGCAGTACTGCTAACATTACTGCTTAGCAGAGCAGAAATATGTAAGGAAGCAGTACTTTCCTGAAAGAATTCTTTCACAAGTAACTCTACTGCTACTAAAATCCACTGTCTAAAATTACAAAGAGGTTTCTTCCGGCTCTCAAATTATGAGCGTAATATGATAAGTGTTTATATTGAAAAATGCGTAATAACGATTTTCTCTCCCCAGAACCCTCAAACCATCCATCATAAAATCTTTCAACAATGTTTTGACGTAATGGAAGCTGATATTACCTTGGTTATTAAAATGATACTCCACAAACTTTGCTTCTACGATCGATAAGGCTTAAAAGAGCTTAGCACAGGTTCTTCTCTGCCATATTTATATTTTTTAAATGGTTTAATATAAATTAAATTTTTTTAGCAGCAGAGCTTATGGAAGAGTTCGTCCAGGGTAGTAAAAAAAGTGCGTTTTCTTAAGAGAAAGGGTAGACAACCACAAATTACATGCAAACTTATGAGAGAAATAAATGTAAGCTATATAAATATTTCTCCCGGCCCGGGAATCGAGTCTAGGACCTCTGCGGGCAGACTAGTCAATCAGTACAATTGAATAATTGTAATCAAAGTCTCCTCTTAATTATAATTTTTAATAAAGTCAATTGGATGGGCAGGATGCATATAATTATTATAATTTACAATATTTTTTAAAGTATCATTGTTAGAAACAACCTATAGAGTTAAACGGGTCGCTATCATAGATTTTTGTCATCCAAGTACATAAAAGCTGTATTATGACGTTTTGTATAAAACGGTTTTCGTTTTACTACAATTTTAAATATCGTATGTTGCAAATTTTAAATATCAACCGGAATGTTGTCATAGAAACGCACACCTACTTATCTTACTGTTAGATTAGAAAATGAAAGTATTTTTCCGGATTTATATCGCGTATACTAACGCGTATATTTATTTTTTTCGAACAAACCAACGCTTCGGACCCTTTATAGGTCCCATGATCACGGTTGACTGTTACTCTGTGAAAAATATAGAAATGGGTGAAATTTAATAAACCGTATTCTTTTTTTTTATAACATCAAGCAATGTAAGCTACCGCCTGTCCTTAACAGTTACTCACTCAGTGTTTTAAATTGCAAAGATCTGAGGGGCACTAACAATTAACGGGTCGAGTACATAACCAGAAATAGAGACGAAATGTCATTTAATATGTTTGAAAACTAGGTATTCTGCCATATTTTTTTATTTACTGTGACAACTGCGCTCCGATTGGCAAGCCCGAATTCGAAACAATTGACGGGTGTCGTCAATTATTTCACTTCAAATCGAACAGTTTAACTTGAGCTTTGCTGTAGTGGACGAAAATTGCAATATTACATATTTAATATTTAATTACCGATGAAATTTGATTCCGTTTGTTTTGTAATTAGATGTTCTTTCCCACACCACCGAATGGAACAGCACGCTATTGTTAGAGATATTATCTATATTATAATAAATACAGAATATTTTTGGAATATACGGAGACGTACATACAGGTCAGATGTTGGCGCTGTCTACATATCAGTGCAAACGAGAGTTGATATTTATAAGTGATGTATCTGACGTGTTACCAGGAATGTATGGCCCTTATTTCGTCTCTACTTCTGGTTATATACTCGATGCTTCAATACGACCAGTTTAACTTGACGAAAGACGACTAAAATTGAAAAATTACATATTTAATATTTAATTACCGATGAAATTTGATTCCGTTTGTTTTGCTGTTTTTCCCCACACCACCGAATGGAACAGCACTCTATTGTTAGAGATATTATCTTTATTACAATAAATACAGAATATTTTTAGAATATACGTAGACGTACACACGGGTCAGTTGTTGGCGCTGTACTATTTCACTTTTCTAATTTGTGATTCCAGTGCAAACGAGTTGATATTTAAAAGTGATATAAAGCCAATTTGTTTGATGGGTTGCCCGTTGTCTCTGTTTCTGGTTATATACGTGATGGAACCAAATAAGAAATATAATAAATATGATATGGAGGTGGATGTGGGTCGAGAAACCGTCAGCGGGTGGTAACGCACGTTTGGCGTTTGTCGAATAGGCAAAGAAGGCATATAATTTGTCACACATGCTATCATACATCGTGATTGTTTGCCAAATATATCAATTACGCAAATACAAATAGATCAGCGCCCGGTAATGATGAACTGTCATCAAAAGCCTATCGTAGTCCACTGCTGAACATAGGCCTATCCCAATGAGTACCATTTCACCCAGTCGTCAGCTCGTTGCATTTTTTAAATAATATCAAGTGACGGGACGAACAAGTCGTACGCGTGTAAGCTGCACGGCTGTCCATAACAGTTGCAGTGCCACTCAGAGCTTTAAATCGCAAAAATCTGAGGTGCACTGCCACAGCGCCCGTCACCCTGAGACATAAGTTGACAAGTCTCATGTGCCTGTAATTTCACCAGCACCCTTACCCTTCAAAACTGGAACACAATAATGCTGACATTACTGCTTAGCGGCAGAAATAGGTAAGGCATCCATCTGCTGCCAGCAGCCCTTCGCAAATCGTCCCTGGCCAGAGATCCTCCACTCAAGAACTCGCTTCCCCCATTAGGTTTTTCGACAGATATGGCCAACCAACTGCCACTATGCTATGCTATGTCGACGACCTTCCCTGTTGGATAACCTCGTTCTGTACCTTGTCTTTCAATGAAACTCCGAGCACGCCTCGCGCAAGTTTAATGTTAGTCGAATAGGCAAAGAAGGCAAGTCACACAACCAAATGCAAATATCCATGTGAAGTGCCATCGTCATTTTCATTATTTTAAATCCTTATTAGGCTCCATGTGTAGACGGGTCATGTTTGTCAGGGTCTGCATATTCGTTTATACATTTAATATTGTTCCAAATACAAGAAATACCCAACAGTGAATATAAATAGCCATTTGAAGTGCCACAATGAGGCTAAGCTTCACAGTAATGGTTACAAGCCGCTGAAGACGTCAGAATTTGTAAAAGCGATAGTCGTTTAACCAGCCTTGTAAACAAAATCCTCGTGTGCAATGTTATTTATTCCAACAAGGCAATGTATAGTGTTCTGAACGATTCATACGGAGTGCAGTACAATTATGAAAGTAGTTCATTGAAAAAGATTGTGCGCGCATGCGCGGTAGACTTGTGATACGGGACTGAGGATGCTGGGTCGGAACAGCAATACATGGGAGTAGTGTTTGCATTGAAAACATTATGCACTGGTTTTGATAGTTATTGGCGTATTTCAAGAAAGCTTTTATAGTTAAAAATGTAAATAAAAATGTTTTTGTTATCGGATTTAAATCACACAGAAACATTGATATAGTAACAGAAACTTGAACGAATGAAAGAGGACAAACTTAATTAAAGAGATGACTGTAAAAAAAGGTTTATTAACATAACGAAATAAATCAATTACTTATTTTAAACTTTTTACGTTAAACCCGTTGTAGTATGGGGTCTAGACCACTCGATCCTATCCAGTTTATTTTCTGATTTACTCTCAATATACACTTTTTTTTAATATTAGTCAACAAAAGTGTTATTTGTGATGTGTTTTCTCTAAAATGTTCCCCTAAAACAAGATTCAACAAGAATCTTACTTGCTGTCTGACAAGTTAGTTTTATGCCCTCGGCATGATTCACGTTTCAAGAACGAATTCAATGAAGTTGACAAGTCCCATGGGTCTGTAGTTTCACCCTTACCCTTCAAAACCGGAACGCAGACATGGGAGACATGAGTATTTTCGATTTTGAGTTTTTTATAAAGCCTGTTTACGCGTTCTATGTTAGCCCATTATATCTCTACAAATAACCATGATACATGTATTGTAATGATAATACAAACATTTAAATTCAGAAATCTATATTACAAACTCTCAAAGGAACTTAGCTAGCTTAGTTAGCTTTTAAATAAAAAAAAATCTTATACAGTCTCCACATATTTCTCTCTTCCTCAACACAACATCCCCCGTTGATTGGGGTGTGATCCGCAGCAAGGACGTAGCCGCCATTAACCAACAATAAAACACCTTTTCGAAAAACTGAACGAAAACAAACCATTCCATATAGTGGAAAAACCCAGAAATCAAGTGACAAAACCACAGTTTGTGTTCGAACAAGAGACGCGCAGGCCGTTTGCAAAATGACACGAGTAAGTAACGATTTTCTGCATTTTCTTTTTTAATCTGAATTCTATTTTTGAATTTCCGTCGACTTGGCTGTGCAATAACACAATCGAGACAACCATCGTTTTTGAATTTAGAACTACGGTATTTTTTAAATTTAGATAAGTCTTTTTTTTAACTAAGTGGCATTTTAGAGGTTAGGTTATGTTCGGATATTAATTTCTTTTTATAATAAAAAGATTTTTTTGCTTGGAATTAAATAATTGATAATGTGAATATGTCTCTTGAGTAGGTGTTTTAAATATATTGTGGCTAGTGTTTAAAGATCGAGTCTGTGACCTAATTTTACGATGACATTTACCTAGTAGATAAATCTAGTTGACCTAGGTCGTCTTATTTAGGTAAATAGGTAAACCTACGTTGGTAATAATTTAGGTCATTTGTAATCTTATTTATGTTATTTTATTTCTAACTACAACTAATATAAAAAGAAGATTGACGTATATATATTTTAAAAAAACTCGAAAGTTTTCTTTTTTTGAAAATCTTAAGTGATAAAAGTAATTTTAATAATAAGATGTCGCATAATGTTTTCGAAATCATGAGAATTTTTCAACTTACATTGAACTAGGCTTGAGTTTTATTAGCAGTAGTTCCTTGCGAAAAAGTTCGTCAAGAGAAATACTGTCACCGTATTAATTTCTGCCGTCGAGCTATAAATGTGAACATTACTGCATTCCGGTTTTGAAGGATCAGGGAGCTCTCCCTTCAAAACCGAAAGGTATTTCTAGATATTTCTAGATTGTTTTAATCATTACAAATTTCTTAACTATCGTAAAAACATGGGCTTTATTTTTAAAACAATAATAAAACAGGCGTTCAGCTCTAAGGGAAAAATAATGGTGACGTTAGTCATGTCCCGTTTCAAAACACGGAAACGTATCTAATGGAACACCGGACATTACATTACAGCATGTTGGTGTAGGTACACTCTGCATCAGTGTTGGCAGCCCTTAAATCGAAAATTACGTTTTGCTACCTGAAAACATCGAGTATATATCCAGAAATAGAGACGAAATAAGTGCCATCCACCCATGCCTGATAACTTATCAGGCGAACGGGCCTTATATCATTTTTGAATATCAACTCTCGTTTGCGCTGAAATCACAAATTAGAAATCTGAAATATTACATTACGTTATTCCAAAAAAAATCTGTTTTTATTGTAATAAAGATAATATCTCTAACAATGAGGGCTGTTCCATTCGGTGGTGTGGGAAAAACAGCAAAACATCTAATTATAAAACAAACGAAATCGCATTTCATCGGTAATTAAATATTACATATGTAATTTTTCAATTTTCGTTCATTGTAGTAAAGCTTAAGTTAAACTGGTCGATTTGAAGTGACACCCGTCAATTGTTTCGAATTCGGGCTGGCCAATCGGAGCACATTTGTCACCGTAATGATTTGGCAGAATAGTTTTCAAACAAATTAAATGACATTTCGTCTCTGTATTTGGTTATATACTTGATGCCTGAAAACTTACACTTTAGCTGCAAATTAATATACGGTGACATTGAACACATTGAATTTTGACGTGCTACTTTGGCATGTTCTCTGAAGTTTTATTTTATTTATTTTTAAATTTATTTGTGGCAATTAACAATCATACGTGTAATAAAATTATTTACACATATTCCTCCTAAAAATAGACCTCTAGTGCCAGCAGGCCGTAAATAATTTATCTCGTGGAATTATTTGTAATAATATTGTAATCACGTTTATTTAATGTTAGGATATTTCTCCACCTTGATATACAATTATTTTTGTGAAATTACTCCACTGGTTTGTTATAATTATTAAAACAAAGATCGAACAATAAGGAAAAATTCCTTCGATCCGGCCGGATTCGAACCAGGGGGTCAATTCAGAACCTTACGGTAACTTAGTTGTCGACCGATTTCGCTTCATATCTATTCACAGCACTCAAAATCGAACATCAAACTGTTATATTCGAAACCGAGCCGAAATGACGTCACACCCGTACGATTACTCGAACATCTCGACCGGTAAAGCTACAAACGTTAGTCAGAACCAAAGTTATCGAATGAAAGTTACCGAACGTCCTATTGTTTACAAAGCAAGAATGTAATATCAAAATATCTTATTATTTTAAATAAACTCTAGATTTTGTTAAATTTTATTAATTTATATTAATGCATTCATATATTTAAAATCATTTAAAATCTTTAAAATGTATATAACAGGATTTTCAGTTTACTTATAATCTATTTCACCGACTAACTCCGTAAACGCTGTTGGATAAAGATATCGTATCCGCATTCGAATTGAACGTTTAACTCGGAACGTTCTGAATCCTGAATCCGGCCGGATCGAAGGAATTTTTTCTGAGTGTTCGATCTTTGTATTAATAATTATAACAAACTAGTGGAGTAATTTCACAAAAAATAATTGAATATCAATTCAATAAAAATTTCAAAATATATCCAATCGAACGATACGGTTAAAAGACCGAAGAGTGCCGAATCGGAATCTAGTGCATCTATTAACAAACCGTGACAGACGCTTTGACAATTAAACCACGGAAATAGCCAGCATAGCCTTTGTATTAATAATTATAACAAACTAGTGGAACAAATTCACAAAAAAGGATCCTGTTACGAGTAAATAAAATAATGAAATAGAAGCAATATATTTTAATGTAGGTTTTTTATAATAAATTTTAACCCATTTGTTAGGGTTAGCAAAGGTTCCACCATACAGCCGCTTCATATATTTAGACCTTAGAGCATATAGGACTGGAGGCGTCATTCATAGGCAATCCCCTCTGTCAAGGTACAAGTACAAAACAACCGTCGCACAATAAACACTACTTTCAAATCGATGAAATCATTTGCATTATCGAATTCACCGCGTCAAGTACTCCATGAAATATGTGGTCTGGCAACATACCAAACAAGAATGGAATTACATTCCATTTATACGTCCATTTTTTACATTAATTACTAGTTTTATATTGTAACACATTTTTTTCACAATGACCACATTGATTAAATTTATCGATTACATAGAATTGCAGAAGAAATGCCTATGAAGTTCATTAATTACTGACAGGCTAAACACTGACAAAAAAACGCAATACTTCATGAACGCTGTGTTTTCGTTATAGAGCACCTCAGATTTTTATCGATAGATTATGTAACGAAGTTTATTCAAATTGATTTCTCCGTCGTATTAGATATTAAATAATAATGTAATAAATTATAAATAATGAAAATAAATTGTAATTGTTTTAATATTAAAACAAAATCATCATAAATCATACTGAAAAAAAATTAACTATTATGTAGGTCAGCTGCTGGTAGCTGTAGAGGTACCTGTACCTACCTCCCTGAGTGAAGCAATAGATTCTCTTCTCATGAATAGATCTCACAGATGACGAGTGATCGAGCGTGAGATATGAAACAATAATACTTAATTAAACGATAACGCCTGAGAACCGTCTGAGATGATAAGTAGCGTCTCTAAACACTGTTCTGCCAGAATACCAGCGTAGTGGGAAACTGCGGCATTTCTTTGAGCCAGCGCCTTTTCACTGCCATGACTTCCAATAAAATATGCAGTTATACGTTACTTTTGTTATAAAAATTTGTTATTTTTAAGTGGTTGATAAACCATAAATAATTATGGTGTTTGTACAGTCAACTACCTAGCTGTAGCTAGCTGGCTATACATGAGTGGTCAGGAAAAGCTGTACTATCACTAACAACCCTAGTTGCCTACCTAACAGCCTAGCCCTAACCATACGCTACGGAATATATACTTATATAAATAGTATGGGAAGCCTGTCACCGTGCGACCTAAGGCAACAGACGGAAAGGGGGGAGGATAAGGGTGCTTTAGGAAATGGTTTTCTCAGTGCCAGTCTCACAGACTCACAAGACTGATCAGATAAGCTAACGGCTAAAGGTGTCTTGGCCGCAGTGAGAGGATGCTGTAGTCAGGAGTGCTCCGTTGTCAATAAGACAGCGTTGATGTCTGAATTCAAAGAGGGTTTTATTTACAAAACTTAAGCTATTTATACAAAACGGTATTTACGTGTGTGTGACTATAAACAATATTATTTTTAAATGTATACATAAAGTTAACTACTCTACTCAGCAGCCTAGTTCAGAACGGTCATTGCACTGCTGAGTAGTCTATTGTCATCACTTAGCAAATGTCCGGTCAGGTTGTCTGTTTACGTCACGTGCACGTGAACAGTGTTAGTTATGAAAATTACCCAGTACCAAATTTGAAGTCTATCGTACAAATGGAAGTAAAATAAAAATTTCTTTTATAATTGAGATCCTCGAATAAAGAGCCAATGGTCTTTAAATAGCTACAGCCCGATTAAATTAGCCTCCAAACAAAAAAAAAACCGCTTTAAAAATCAGTCCATTCTCTTGACAAAGGCTTTAAACTTATAAATCCCCTCTTTTTGCATCAGGGGTTAAAAATTGTAAGTCACGTCCAATCGTGTTAAAGTGATGATAGAATGTCAAAAAAATGGATGGAACTACGTTTACGCAACACGTATTTTAAGAGTGCTTACACACGGCGGCTTTTAACTGCGATGCAAACGCGCGTTCGTAAAACGAGAGATTGCATCGCTACACTTCGGATTTATCGGCAATTGCATCGATACGGTCGCTTATGTTTTTTTTACTCTTGATTTATTTAGAGGCTTTGATCGTTATTAAACATGTCAGCCCCATTAGAAAATATGTTAAATAATTATGAACGAAAAATCTGTATAGGTTTATGCACAATCTTTAGTTTTGTTAATTGTAAATTTAAAAGTATAATTAATAAATACATTAAATAAATAAATCAGTTAATTAATTTAAAGCCTGCATCACGTTTGCATCGCGTTTATATCGTGTTTGCATCGCGTCCGTATCGCGCCTAGCGATTGCATCGCGTTTGCAGCGCTACTCGCCGTATGTAACCGCTCTTATCTGGAAACTTAAGCACTCCAAGTAACTCGAATCCACTGCCTTAAAAGCTCGATCCATCGAATGTCGTTTTCACGAATACTTTTCACCTCGAACGTGTTATGCTATTTATAATACGCGTTCCGGCGTAAGTCAAGGTTCTATACTTGGCCCTCTCCTGTTTTTGCTCATGGTGAACGATCTCCCTAATGTTCTCAGCCACGCACAATGTTTGCTCTACGCTGATGACCTGAAGCTCGTCCTGGAGATCAAATCGGTGGAGGATTGCATAGCTCTCCAGCGCGACGTCGATTCGGTACACCAATGGAGTTTAGAGAACACTATGGAATTTAACACTGATAAGTGTCATGCGATGACTTTCGCTCGGGTAAGGCATCCGATAACTTATGCCTACAATATAGGTGGAGATAGCGTAACTCAATTGACCGTCATAAAAGATTTGGGTGTAGTTTTCGATCGGAGGTTAACGTTTCATGACCACATCGAAGCTCTTGCCAAGGAATCTTTTCGGCGTTTAGGGTTCATCCTTAGAAACTGAAGGATTTTGAAAGTGCCTCCGTGATCAAACTTCTTTTCAATGCATTAGTGCGAAGTAAATTGGAGAGCTCCATGTGTGTGTGGAACCCACATGAAAGCACATATAGTATTATGTTAAAGAAAATACAGAAAGCGTTTCTTAGATATTTATACAAACGTGCCAATGGGTGCTATCCCAACATGTACTGGGTTGTCTAGGATATAACTCGCTGGAGGTTAGGCGAATGAAACACCAACTTGTGGTTATGTGCAAAATTCTCCGCGGCAATATAGATTCCCCAGATTCGCATAATGTGCTGTGTCGACTCTTTGCCCCCGTCAACTACCACCGCATTAGAAGACACCAGTTGATGGCCACCGCGTGGTGCCGAACCGTAGCGCGCACTAAATCACCCATACCGCGCTCCCTGTGCGCCCTCAACTCTCTCCTCGCCACCAACCCTGAATGCGACTTGTTTGCGGATGGATGGTCACTGTTATTGTTAAGATGCCTACGCTATTGTGAGTGTGATGCTTGAATGGTACTTAATCTTGTTGTGTTTATTAAGTTGTTATGTTAGTATAATGTATCTTTAATTATTGTAATTGCTGTGTCCGTTATAATTAAAGTAAAATAAATAAATAAATAATTTATAGCGTCAGTGTGTAAGTAGTTTACCTATACGGGGTTATTAACCGACATTAAAAAAGGAGGAACTTTTCAATTCGACTGTTTTTTTTATATAAATGTTAAGCGACCGGCAATCGTGAATCCGGAAAGAGGTTATCGCAGTGTTGGTCGAATTTAAATTCGAAGAAAATATACCACCTCTAAATAGGGGGCGTTTAATATCCTGCATTGCAACCGTCTGACGCGTAATGTAGGATTCTTAACATAATGGTAGTGTGCAAGCAATTCTGCAATCCTACAATGTGTCCTGCGAGACTCCATGCGTGAGCCATGTACAGGATAGTGTGTGAGCAGTCTCCTGCCTGTCATGCAGTTAGGGGGGCGAACTAAGGGATGAATCCGGCTTCATGCATTTTCCAGTAACCGGTTTCAATAAAACTTCACAAATAGATGTAATTCCACGAAATACTGAAGTCGGTTTTTTTTATTTAAATATTTTTAAAATACTAACGATATCGCATGTTACTAACATCATAAACAACAACGTTTGTTCCATGACTTCTACTCGTACATTGGATTTTAGTTTCATACAAAAATAAATAGATTGAAATAGACCGCTCTAAACGGTAATAATAAATAACTCTTTGCAGGACTGGGGTGGGAGTCGTCTAGGAGGACACTTGCATGTTTGTGCTTGTAACTAAGAAGTGTCAAATCGACTGTGAACTGGCAATCGGTACTATCTAAATTTTGACAACTGTACAGGATGAAGAAAAAACTGTTTGCGTCGTTTATATAGCATTTAGTTAATAAAAATACGTAGTGTGTGTGTAATAAAAACATTTAAAAATTACTCATTTTTAGTGAATAAATCAGATGCTATATAAATGACGCAAACAATTTTTTTCTTCATCGTGTAAAGTTGTCAAAATTGAGATAGTACCGGTTGCCAGTTCACAATTGAAATAGAACAACAAAAACTTAAAAGTATATTTTTGTTATTATGTTTTGTAAAACGTAATAAATAAACTGATTTATTGTTATTATTATAGATACATGCCGCCTCTAGCATTCGAAACATTTGTTGACACCGTTCTCCCGCTGAACTTTCCACGCTCTCATTAGTTCACAGTTAATTAGTAAATTAAAAACTTTTAATTAATCTAAAAAGGTCACAACACTCTGAAAGTAGATATTCCTAGGGCGTGACCGGTTGCCCTTTTTTAATTTGCGACCGAAATAGTGACCGGTCACGCGGGGAAGACACAAGGACGTCCAGTGTACCTTAGTTAGTATTGACGCTTTTCACAGTACAAATTGTAAAGTTATAAAAATGTTGGTAATTTAACTCTGTGGAAATGTGCAACATAATATCACATCGCTATTAGAATAGTGTTGTAAATCAAATGTGTGAAATTCAAGATAATACGAGTAATATTTTTGAATGTAAAATTTTAATGGGATATTATTATCTGATCCTCAAAAATATTAATTGATCTATTTATTGTAAATGTGCACTTTTTAATTAAACGATATTTTTTTATGTCTACTATACATATTAATTGTTCCGTCTATATTAGCTGATCGACTGGATAAATTATAAAGGTAACACTATTATATGTTAAAGCCATTGACATACAAATAAATGGACGACGGGTCTAATACAAAAAAAAACGAAAAAAATGTCCCAAGTCAACCTATTTAAACGTAGTGACCTGTAAAGGAATATGAAAAAGCTAAAACGTTGAATTTAAATTGTAATGTCATCGCAGTACTGTCTAATTTTGCTTACTTCGCTGTCAGTCGAACAAACGAAGACTAAAGCGTGAATGACGCTTTGTATACGATTTGAACGCCCTATAAGTTCGGACACTTTTTAGCGCGGACCCGACGTCCATATAATTGTAAGTCAATGGTTAAAGCATACTAAATTAATATTTGGTATTCAAACATAATGTTCGATCATCATTTTTTATTATTGGACTTGTTCATTTTACATATTTTACTGCTTAACACTGTTTCGTTTTTAGGAATTCTAGAACTGAAATTTATCTGCCACTTGGGGTTCTTAAGAATGGGTTAATATTGTAATGTAATTAATAATTATAATTATAACTTACAAAAAACCGTTTGTTTATCCACTTTTTTAATGGAATTACATCTATATTTGCCAAATTTTATTGAATACGGTTAACAGGAAGTGGGTGAAATTCAATAAATCGAATTCATCCTCAACCATAGAGGGAATATTTACTTCAAATTTTAATGGGGTCACTACACAGGTGCCTTTCCAACAAAATAATAAATAATTTATATTTAACAATATAGAACCACTGTCTTCGAGGAGAGATTTTGCCTTCCCATGTCTGTTCTATCGCATGTACAATAGCCAATGTTCTGAAGAACTGTTTGACATGATGCCAACAGCAACATTTTTATCGTCTCACCTCTCCCCACCGGCAGTGAGTCCGTCCTCACACTCTGGGGCCGAGTCGATCTCACACTGTACGGTTTCAGAAGAGCTTCCTACCACGTCCAATTAGGTTGTGGAATAAACTTCCCGTCGGGATTTTCCCGCTGGAAAACAGCATGTAGTCCTTCAAAAGGGTTTGGGTTTGATAAGGGTCCTAAAGGGTTGGCAACGCGCTCGTAACGCCTCTGGTGTTGCACGCGTTCATAAGCGACAGTGACCGTCCATCAGGAGGGCCGTATGCTTGTTTCTGCCTACTTATTATAAAAAAAATGTAAATCGGTTCACAAGTATCGGAGTAATTACGCAACATATACACCCACACACATATACACGTCGTAGACAATACGTGTAAATAATAATTAGTCATTGGCGTTTTATTGTATTATTACGTACATTAGTCTGTAAGGTCTTTTGTAACCTGAATACTAAACATCTAACGTGCATTTGGAAAATATTACAGATGAGTAATAAAGATTTCTATATATTACTCGTTTTACCTTTCCAGCATCGAATTCAATTGAGAGTTCCTTTTTTGAAGTCTGTTAAAAATTAACTTCTTTTTCAGATAAATATTCGAAAATTGTCTTTAATTCCAGTTCGTGATACCACCGTAAAAGAAGATGGCGACCTATACAGCCCAGGCATGGATTTCGGAGTAATTTTCGTTTGGTTTCCGCTTTGCCTGTTTCAGGTAGGTTATTTTCTTCGACCACAATCTGCAGACACACCCTAGCTGCTAAATTATTCTTCCTTTTACGCATGCACACAAACATGTTCCTTACACGTCATACGTACTGTAATATTGATCTGTGTCTCTACCACGAGTTTACTGTGACAATTGTCGCTGGCGATTGCTTAAATTACTTCACAATTTTATATGACAAATTATGCAGCGCCCCTAGCGGTCACACGGACGATAACTGTCAATGTAATCTCATGGTAGAGGCACAGGTTTTCTAGAGGTGAAGGCCTAATGACGAAAAACACAAGGTAACCTAGTTAAGGCTTCAGCCTCTACAAATTCTCCTGTATAAAATGCTTTTATGTAATACTGTTCACTTTTTTTGTACTTTAATATGGAGTTCACGATGTGTTATTACAATGATATCCAATTTTTAACCGACTTCAAAAAAAGAAGGAGGTTCTCAATTCGACTCCATGTTTTTTTTTGTATGTATGTTACGCGATAAGTCCGGTATATGTGAACCGATTTTCATGATTCTTTTTTTGTTGGAAAGGGGGTACTTCCATAGTGGTCCCATTTCGTTTTGAAGAAAATCATCCACCTCTAAGGGTGGCTGATCACGCATGAACATTCATTTTTATAAATAGCGCCTGAATTTTCATTAAGGAGCAATTATTTTAATGCTTGGTTTTGCTATTCTCCAATTTAAGGCGTTTTTCTCTCTCAATATACTTTGAGTAGTAAGAACCGATTTTTATTACCTCCTGTGTCAAGTCCTTTATAGTGGCGAACTAAACATCCTCATAATTCAATAAAACTTGGCAAATAGATGTAATTCCACGTACTTTTGAGGTCGGTTTTTTTAGTACTCTGTACTAAGATTACTATATAAAAAAGTCACTTACAATTATATGGACGTCGGGTCCGCGCTAAAAAGTGTCCGAACTTATAGGGCGTTAAAATCGTATACAGAGCGTCATTCACGCTTTAGTCTTCGTTTGTACGACTGACAGCGAAGCAAGCAAAATTAGACAGTACTGCGATGACATTACAATTTAAATCTAACGTTTTAGCTTTTTCATATTCCTTTACATGGATGGCACTACGTTTAAATAGGTTGACTTGGGACATTATTTTCGTGGTTTTTGTATTATACCCGTTGTCCATTTATTTGTAAGTCAATGTTTAGAGTCAATAAAACTTCATAATATTACAGTTATTAAAGCGACATCACTGTTTAGCCGCTGGTAGCTGTAAAGGTACCTGGATGAGTAAAGAAAAGCTTTCGTATATTTCTCACAGATGGCGCTATGGCAAAAATATCGTTATAAAATATTGCAAACATTTCCAAGCATGTTTGAGAAAATTATGTATTTGTCGGCCATTGTCACGTTCGGCGTTCTCAGCCTAATTATCGTAGCCATTTTGGTTTCCTCAGCCTAATTACCGTAGCCATTATTTCTAGCTTAATACATCCAATAACAATGAAACGTGTAATTTGTCTAGTTAAGAAACAAATATTTTATGGAAACGATAATTAGATCTAATTTTAAGAATGTTTGAACGGTGATCTAACTACCGTTTCCATAAAATATTGATAGTTAAGCTTAAAATTGTTCATATTTCAATGTTATTGGGTACATTAAGCGAGAAAAAACAATGGCTACGGTAATTAGGCTGAGGACACCGAATGTGGGAATGGCTGATGTAATGTTTTCTAACTTCTATTCAAGATTAGGAAAAGCCTAGGAAAATTTTTTGCTAAAGGTACACTTAAAATATTATTATCACCCATTACGTTCGTAGTATTTTAGAGTTTGGAAGTGTTGTCTGGAACCCTCAGTATGTTGTTCATCAAAATACAATAGAAAGAGTTTAAAATATTTTTTTGAAATCCCAGGACTATAGCTCTAGTTGTTGCTATACTGACTAAGAAGATAGTGTAAAAAGACATAATGTACACGCTTTCTAGACGCCATTTCATAAGATACTATCTTTATAAACAAGCTCGTTCACGATGACATTGATTCCGTTGAACTTTTAGAGAAAATTACGTATAATGTACCTTTTTTTTATTAAGAGTTTTGGCTTGGATACAAGTCCTTTGAGCCATGTCTTCGTTAATTATCGGGATCCTCATTAAATGTTTTCCATTGTGGTTCTACAACATTATGTTTTCACTTTCTCCTAAATAACTTAGTTCTCTTATTTTTTATTTTACATGTATTTAAGTTTTAAATTTGAATTGTTCCATCTTCCTTCACTTTCTCATTTTGTTTTCGTACCACGGTGACTCCCAGCTCGACCGCCACAACATTCGGAGCTGTTCCAAATTCCATCGCGAATAATCGCTAATTCTGGTTCTTTACTACGTTTGTAATCATTTAATAAGTTAAATCATGTGTAATAATTTATAAGTCTACAGCCTTCGTGTACCTAAATCTGTAATTCAGTTACTCGGCCCATTTAGGGGTAAGTGCCTTAATAATAAAGTGTAGGGAGTGTTTTATACTGTTTTTTTACATTTACCTTTTTATTGTTACAGCCCTTTCTTTAAACTTTACTTCTTAAATAAATTTTGTGGACCGGAAGGCGCCCGTTTCATTGCCGTGAACCTGTTCACGGCTAGTTAGGGTTACAACCCTTTCAACTTGGTATCATAAAATAATAATAATTTGTATGATTGACTTGTCCACTAATACGAAATCAATACTTTTACCATGCCTTTATAGGGACAACTAGCTACCACACTTTAGAAAATTTTTAATTATCTATCTCTCTCGATTCCAGTGAGTTCGCGCAGTGTGCGAACTGGACGACGACATGCACCCCTCAAACAGGTGACGCTGTCGGCTGCACCCGCGGAACATGTCATGGGACTCTATCGAGTCACGCGACTTCCTTGGGTAAGACACACATGTCTCTTTTTAACTCCTGTGTTTAAGCCGCGTGTGTACGAGACGGCATTATGAGGAAATTCATTTCCTTGGTTACATAGAAGGTGAAGGTGAAGGTTACATGAAGGATAAAAAAGGAGAAAATTTCAAAATAAAATTCACTCATGTATATATTTAGAGGAATCACGGACTTACGAACTGGTGGAAATTCCCTTGTAGCCATTGTTATGATATATCTATCATAATTAGTGTTTGGTCATGGGAAAGTTTCCATTTTGAAAAATCATATTTTTCAGAAAATTAAATATTTGTTCGGATAATTTTCCTATATTTTTCCACATTTGACGTTGACATCTGTGAAAAGTTGAAGTTACTAAACGAAAATGATGGAGCCAATATAAAAGTATTTTTCGCTGTTTCGAAATTATATAATTTTTCGGGATTTGTCCCGAAAAAAAATCAACCCAAACCAATTGAAGTTATTTGGAAAATTACCCCACAGTAATCTAAACAACCTTTGTTTAACAGGCCTAATATCATTTGATAATTATATGGCACTTATCTATTATTTAGTAGTGTAATGCAAGAATACAAATGCTTGCGTGTGGCGACACCGGTTTTGATACTGCGTAATGCCGCTTGATTGAAATTACATCCATTAGTTTGTTATTCCGTAGGAGGAACGCTAAATAAACTATAACAATGAACGACTTTCCTCATGCATCAGAACTTACAGGTTATCTCTCCTCTGTTCTCATATTGTGCTATGCTGCGTTACCATCAGAGATGTGCGAGGGAAAATCGACCAATGGAATTACTTAATTTAATTTAAACAACCTAAAGGTTATTATACAACTTCTGCGTACTTGGATGACAAAAATCCGTGGTAGTAACCCGTTTAGCTCATGGAGGTAGTCTCGATCTCTGATGTTTCAAATAAAAAAAAAAATTGTAAATGTTATTTACAAAGAGCAACCCCTAGAGTTTCTTGCTCATTCTTCTCAGGGGAATCTGCCTTACGAATGAGCGGTAGAGTTTAACTATTGTGACGATTTCAAGTGTAATAATGCTTACCTATGAAATAAAGATTATTTTGAATTTGAATTTAAATTTGAATTTAGCCTCGCTTAGGGCAGCTCTGGTGGAAAAGGGCTAGCGGAGCTAAATATTTCTACATGCAAAAAGCGAGAGATGTGTGGGACGGATGCGAGCGAGGAATGTGTGCGAGTTTTGCGAGCGAGGAATGTGTGCGAGGTACACCGCAGCCTACCCGCGCACTGCTGAAAAAAGTCCGCGACTCATCGTCGCACCGTTTCACAGCACCGCTACACATCCTCACAACGCCTAACTACCTCGCACATCTCTGATGGCACCGCAGCCTAAAGATGTCTCTGTGTTATCGTTCCAGCGGGGTGCCGGCGCACCAGCTGTCGGCGACGCGGCTGCTCAGCTCGCCTGATCCCTCTAGACACCATCTTGATGATCCGCCGGGTATGTAATTCTCACTTAGGTACTAGTATGGTAACTCCCTGTAAACAATAATAATAAAAGATTTATAATTTCGGACAACAGGGATCCATGAAGTGTTGGTAATAAAAATAGGTTATAATTAGGTTAATACTTAAATTGTACTTTGATTTTGTGGTTGTTATTACGTACCGGGTTCGATTCCCTAGTTTTATTTTCCCTATGAGGGTAGAAAATTAAATCAAGGAATCCGAAAATTGAATTAATTATATGATAAAAAAATAAATTACAATTTAAAATTAAGATAAAAAAAGGTACATAAATTTAGTACGGGTCGTGGTATCGTGCCTTAAGACCTCAGGTTTTCCGCTTCCGAGTACGGTACTCTCCTGTATATTTGCCGGCGCAGAAGAAGGGCCACAGGATGAGTAGCAATTGTAGCCGTTCAGCGGATGTTATTTCGTCCTAGTCCGGACGTAGTCAAGCTCCAGGTGTATGAGCCCGAAGGAGCTCAGCAAAGGTAGGTTTCCAACCCGAAGGTATCTCAATCCGAAGGTGATTCCTGTAACGGACAACCAACGGTAGTAATAGTACTTTTGCTTCCGTTCTGAAAGCCCACCGACGGCAAAAGAGAATTAGAGAAGAGCCCCTACGTAGTAACAATTGCCGGTGGCGCGACCAGAACATATAAAATTTAGGTAGTAAGACTGAAGGCCGAGTCGTTTAGAAAAGATTAAAAACTAAATAAACCAAAGGAAACAACGTCTGGTGAAAAAATACAATTAAATTTGTTCGTTAATTTTTGCAATTTTGATGTAAAATTCAAAATTTCTCAAACCGTATGATACTATGGTCCAAATTTACGTTGTACATATCTATATAATCGTAAAAAGAGCTGCAATAACGATATAGTACAATTTGGTACAATACAAAACATGAAAATTAGCAAATAAAAGCGTGACAAGTGTTTTGTGTGTCATTCAAATTACCCTAAAGCGGGAACTTTCACTTTTACAACTATTTACGTACGTTAAATGTGATTGGAAGAAATTATCTTCGATTTACAATAACAATTTAAATATTTCAAATCACGTAACGGATTTTTTATATATCGGGAGCGCGGCCAAGCCGAGCGTGGACTGTCTCTGAGAACTTATAACGCTGTCTGCCTGAGCCGGCGGCGGGCGCCGGCGGCGGTTACCGCGCTCCCCTCTCTCTGCGTCAGTCGTCATTCAAAAATGCAACGTTGGTTGCCATAGATTTAACCAACTTTTGTCTATGGTAACTCGTGATTTTAATTGTTTTGTAATCAATTATTATTTAAGAATGTGATAGATAATATTTGAGATTAATTCTTAATACTGTTAAATTTAAAAAACGATTTATTCAAAAATAACTTAACAACGTTGTAACGTTCCGTTACAATTAAATGCCGCATCACGGGGCACTCACTCCTATCCGCGATAGTCTTCAGGAGGCCGTTGCTGCTGCAACGTATTCAGTTTAATAATAAAGACGCAGACTTCTTCTGTAAGACACATGCAGCCATGAAGAAGTCGACTCGAGCTTTAGCAAACATGGCAGACGCACTGCAGAACCGTGGCAGCCGCAGCAGCGTCCTGAGCGCGTTGTTATATTGCATATACGCAGGGCACTGAGCGAGCTTTGGCTACAGCTGGCCCACAAGCACACGCGTACATTAGTATGCAATAGGCTCTAAAAAGTGTGACTTTCACCTCCGCCGTACAAACCCTCTTCCGACATTCAGGCACATCTTAGTGCAAGCTAAACTAATGACCATACACTTATAATACCAAATAAGTATAAATATGTTTCTTAACCAATTATCTACCAACGAATGACTCAATTAGTTCTACCTTATATCACCATGGCGCAGCGGTGATAACTAACATCCTTTCACATGCTAATAGTACAAATAGTATATTTTTTTTATCGAGGGACTAAAACGAGTCAATATATTATATTCAAGGTGGTTAGCCACCCGAGCTTTAGCGAAGTGTCTATTAGTCCGAAGATTTATGTTGGCTTTTATTCTTAAGATTACAATTCACTTTTCACTTCTATTGCGAGAAAAAACAATAATTAGTTTACTTCAATTGTTTACGCTCTACAATAAAATCACGAACCAAAATTCTAAATTCTTCGAACGATCTTTGGCAATCATGAGCGTCTTACGAACAATTTAGCTACGTCATTTGTAAGCCAATGGCTACGACGCTAAATAATACGGCGTCTATGCGGAAAAGGCGCGGAACTACGTACTTTTTACTCCCTTGGGATTAGATGATGCAGTTTACTCCCGCTACATAAAGCTATATTGACGTAATTTTAGAGCATGAAAAATGAAAAGTGTATTTTCTGATGCCAAAGATCCAACCAGCAAGAAAATAGCTGTTTCCAAAGACACGTGCATTGACCATGTGTTGCAGAAAAGAAAACCTATAGTACTAAATATCTACTAAATTTAGCTTTTTCACAAAACTTGGTAGTGACAAAAGCGACAAAAAAACTGCAATCCTTCCTTACAGATGTATACCCGTTCGCAGAAGACTATGGCGGTAACGAAAGCTCTCGAAATGGCGCAATGCGATGGGGCTCGCGATTTGGACCTGCGCACAGACCACCTCAAGCAGGGTTACTGGACTGCTTCAGAGCTTGCCGGAGCAGATTGGATCAATATGTAGCTAGGCGGAAGGTCAGTCACATTATATTTTTAAATATATGCTCTCCCAGAGATGGGCGCCCGGGTTTTAAGCCGGCGCTTAATTTATGCCGGGTTTGAATCGAGTTAGTACCCCTTAAAAATAGAGTTTCGTTCAAATTTTATGATATTTAAGTTTTTATTGAATAGATAATCAATTCGAGTTCTTAGGTTTTAGCGATTGTTACACATAGGAAATGAAACTATGTTTCCGGATTTAAATCGCGTATATTTGTTTTTTCAAACAAACCGACGTTTCGGGCCCTTTACATGTATAGGTAATAATAATAAATTGAACTTAATAAAAATTCATTCAATAAAATAATTTGTAAAACTTAATTTAGCGTAAATTGGAATGTTTTCTTTGTAAAATTAAAAATAAGGTATTTAATTAATAACTATTGTAACTATAGTGAAAACATAGGGTGGTTTACATCAATATTAGACATAACTAGTTGAAGACTGTACCACCTCAATCAACCGTGACCATGGGACCTGTAAAGGGCCCGAAAGGTCTGTTTGTTTGAAAAAACAAATATACGCGATTTAAATCCGGAAAAATAATTTCATTTCCTATAGATAATCAATTATTTTTTATGTAAAATTACTCCACTAGTTTGTTAGAATTATTAATAGAAAGATCGAACTCCGACTGGATTCGAATCGACGTCTTGTAGCATACCGTGGCAGACGCTATACCAACTAAGTCACAAAACCAGCGGACCTCACGAAATTTTCTATGTTCTTGTTGTCTAGGTTTTACAACATTTAATGATATTATTACAAAATGTTTATTGGTTTATCATCTTTTTAATGAATTGGTTGATTAAATAAATACATACAAAAAATCGTTAAATCGAATGGATTTTCGTAAAAATCAGATCATAATGTGTGTCCTTAATAGTGAGAATCCACAGAATTGCAAGGAAGGTATTGTGAGTTGTCTCTTTTTCATCTAAAAAAGATTTTTTACATCGAAATTTGTAATAAATATGGAATAATACCAAATTCCGTATTGCCCTAATTATGTCCACGAAATTGGGCAGAAACGAATTAAAACCCTGCGCTTTGGGATAAAACCCGGTTAAAACTCGGCCAGGTTCATAGGGTTTTAATCCACTGCTTTGTGCTCTTCTGCGAGTTCAGTGCGCACGCGATGCTAAATGATTTATCATTTTAGGAATTAATTTAATATTTGCGCATTTATGATAACTACTCGTGGAGTATTGCTTTACTAGCTCAAAAAAGTCTTGCAACCAAATCTTACGGTCAATACCATTGACTTACAAATAAATGGACGACGGGTCTAATACAAAAACCACGAAAACAATGTCCCAAGTCAACCTATTTAAACGTAGTGACATGTAAAGGAATATGAAAAAGCTAAAACGTTGAATTTAAATTGTAATGTCATCGCAGTACTGTCTAATTTTGCTTGCTTCGCTGTCAGTCGAACAAACGAAGACTAAAGCGTGAATGACGGTCTGTATACGATTTTAACGGCCTATAAGTTCGGACACTTTTTAGCGCGGACCCGACGTCCATATAATTGTAAGTCAATGGTCAATACACTTTTTTACATCACCAATTCCGCCTTTCTTGCCGTTTTAACGTGCGCCCATCGAGTATATAAACAGAAATAGACACGAAATAAGGTCCATCCATCCCTGGCAACTCATCAGGTAAATGGGCCTTACATCACTTATAAATTATTTCAAATCTTCAGTGCCAAAAATATTCTGTATTTATAGTAATAAAGTTAATATCTCTAACAACGGGGGCAGTTCTATTTGGTGGTGTGGGAAAAACAGCAAAACATTTAACTGCCTCCGTGGCCGAACGGTTACCATGCTGCCACGCAAAGGTTCCAGGTTCGAGTCCCGGGCCGGGTGAAATATTTGTATGGCCTACATTCATTTCTCTCATGAGTTTGCGTATAATTTGTGGTTGTCCATGTGTGTGTCCATGGCACCCGCGACACAGGGTTTCCCTAGGCTATGTTGAGTGTGTGCGTTATTTTTATTATTATTAATTACAAAACAAACGGAGTCAAATTTCATAAGTAATTAAATATTAAATATGTAATTTTGCGATTTTAGTCCATTATAGCAAAGCCTAAGTGAAACAATTGACGACACCCGTCAATTGTTTCGAATTCGGACTCGCCAATCGGAGCGCAGTGTCACCGTAATGATTTGGCGGAATAGTTTTCAAAAAAATTAAATGACATTTCGTCTCTATTTCTGGTTATATACTCGATGCGTGCGCCATATCGCTTCTTTAAACGCTGACGATGCTAAACGATATCACTATAGATCGAGCGTGGCGTCCGGCTATACGGACAGAACGAGCAGCGACAGGCAGTCAAAGTGTGGCTCTCAGCTCTACGAGGAGTCAGGCACAGGACCGACAAATTCGCGTTGCTCGGTCATCTTTATCAGGCTTATATGGACTTTGGAAAATACAGGTATGTAACAGCTTTTTACACAAAACCACCTCAGCTGGCTTGTATCAGCGTCATTAGCTGCAATTCTTGTGCAATTATCACTTATTTTGTAACATATTACAGGGAATCCTTGGAATACGCTAATCGTCAACTCAGCATATCAGAGGAACTGGACTCAGCGCCTATGCGAGCTGAGGCTTATCTCAATCTAGCACGGGCGCATCAGACCTTAGGAGGGCTTGACAGGTAATTAAATCACATGATAGTACCTGCCGCCAAGCAGTAATATGAGCATTACTGCGTTCCGGTTTTGACAGGGTATGGGAACAAACATTTTTCCGACTAGTAGCCGCCATTAAGCTAGGATATGAGATAGGCCATCGTTTGAATTGCACCTCACAAACAATCCAGGTTTTAGTAGCAGTAGAGTTCGTCCAGGGAAGTACTGCCACTTGCCTATTTCTGACGCCAAGGAGTGATTTGAGCATTACCGCATTCCGGTTTTGAAGGTTAAAGGTGTTGGAAATGACAGACATATGGGGCTTGTCAAATTTATGTCTCAGGGTGGTTGGAGCAGTGGCAATACCCATAAAAGCTTTGCGGTTCAAAAGTTTGAGTGGTGCTATAATGTAACTGCTGTGGGTGGGCGTGTCGCTTACCAACTGGTGCACGACTAGTTCGTCTCTGGGGGTATATTCTCGTTCACCACAACAAATGGACATAGTTATGCAAACAAGAACCAACCCACACTTCGAGTGAAATTGGCTTATGTATTCAGGTAGAACACCAGACGTGTCCTTTACCCGCTCACAAAAGATCCTGGCAATATACCAAGCCAAAACGGAGAAAACAAAAGTCTTTCAGGTTACCAACTCTAAATAAGTAACTTTTTAATAGCTAAAAAGAACCATGCTGCTTAACTTCACATAATGTTTTTTTTTTTAATATGCTACATGGATTCAAGTCACATGTACTGAAGTACTGTAGATCTTTAGCGTTTTCATTACGAAAACTAGAACATGGTTCTCGTTTAACTAAACAAAAAGATACATAATGTTTTCTATTTATTGCTACATAATATAATAGTTTCCCTATATCATTATCAATGCTACGCATAACTCACGTTGCTTGTCTCAAACAACCTATTTATTTGTTCACACTGTTTTTACAAAAATCTAATTATCTCGAAAGTGACATTTTGTGGGTTGGTTCTAGTTTGCATAACTATGTCCAATTACTGTTAAATAAGTAGTCATATTGAACATTACTTGGTTCAGACGGATGTCAGACGGAGAACGGATGTACACTCCCTGAATCGTTTGATATCATAAAAAAGTCTGATCAGACTTTGCAATATAATTACAGAGCTTTGTCGTACGCCCGCCATGCCCTTTACAACGATTGCGGCGGTGGGTCAACAGCAGGTTGCGTGCATTTAACCGTGGCATCAGTCAGCTTAGAGCTTGGGGCTTTCTCGAAGGCGATGGATGGGTTCCAGAAAGCGTTGTCGGTTGCACAAGCGCAGAATGATAACACTCTGTTACTTCAGGTAAGTACGCAATGGACGACGAACCCGTAGACTTTGACTTGCCCACTAAGAGGACAATCATTTACTGTGGTATGTCAAGTTTTCTGTTTTTCAAGTCTCAAAATGCCAACACATGATCTTCAGTGTCGTGAAGGTCAGTGTCAGTCATACATTATATAACAACAGCAGTTCGTCGAAGAGACACTTCCAAAAATAAATACCTTGCTGCTGCCTTAACATTGGCGTTTTTAACCAATATTATCTGCCTGCACTCTTCAAAACTGTTCATCAACAAGAACTGACCGCATTCCTCAAAACTGACACAGGCCCAAGCCCAATGGCCGCCATTAATAATACGTACTTACCTATAACATAATAATACGTTTTGTACGAAGATGTACTTATCAGTGTCAGAAACATTCAGTGACGTCAGTATAATTTTGACGTCTGCCGTGATGTGAGAATATTTTCACTGACGGTACGGACGTTATATATGACTGCGATACTACAAGTATCTAGATTAGACAATCACGTTACATATCGACGTCAGCACTGAGGAATGCGAATAGCAAGTCATAATAATAAACTGCACTGATCGTTGCGCGTCTGATGGGTATTCATGCAAAATATTTCTTCAGTGACCTTACCCACTCAATAAGCTTTGGACAGACCACAGAAAGTCCCAAAAAGCTTCAAGAATAGCTTCTGGGACTTCTGGCTTCGGTTCGTAGAAATTTCCTCGTTTGGAAAAATTTGATTTCATTCTTATTACGTAAGCTCATACAATTTTCCCTCAGGAGGGGTAGGCACAGACCACGAGACGCCACCTTATTCAATCTTGACACAACTTTGTAACCTCACATTCATCGTCTTATTACTTATCTTGAAATCTTAATTACGTGTGCCGATACACTTGCCCCATCCCATCTCCAGCACACCAGCAAGAGGGCTGGCTCCGCAGCTGAGCTGGCGGAAAGAATAGAAAATAATTAATTCCAGGACCTCAGCTCCGACTACGTATTTACAGCCTTTGGAGTCGAAATTCTTGGCCGGTGAGGTCCGGTGCACTTCATATGTACAAAATGTTATCCAAAAAAGTAATAGACTGTCTGGAAAACCCAAGGACTGGCAGCTACCTTGCCCGACACATTAGTGTAGCCATACAAACGGGGAACGCCACCAGCATCTTGGGCACATTGCCGTGGGGACCCAATTTTAAGTACGTAAGCTTTTATTGTACCTTACCTGTGTGTTTCAATTACCAGGTTTACGTTGGTCTATCTGAATTATGGCGGCGGTTAAAAGATGCAGAACGAGCAGTCGCATGCGCAGCTAGAGCGTGTGACCTCGGCCGCGGTCCGCGGTCCACCGACTTAAACACCAGACATCATCGCATGGCGCTGCTGCAAATGGCTACGGCACTAAGAGCGAGAGGAGAACTGGGCGACGCTCACGACTATTGCAACGTTAGTTTCTTTTTTACTTAAAAGAAATGCAAAATAATATTTTTGTCCCATATAATGAATAATTTTGTTTTATTTCAGGCATAGACCCATTGACTTACAATTATATGGACGTCGGGTCCGCGCTAAAAAGTGTCCGCACTTGTAAGGCGCTAAAATCGTATTATACATTGCGCCAAACTCCGCTTTAGTCTTCATTTGTTCTACGGACAGCGCGATACTGCGATGACATTACAATTTAAATTTCGAATAGGTTGACTTGGGACATTTTTTTCGTGGTTTTTGTATTAGACCCGTCGTCCATTTATTTGTAAGTCAATGCATAGACCCATGTAAATTGTTAGTAACATTTTCACACACTTGCACATAAATAGCATCATCGTCATTATCAGCCGGAAGACGTCCACTGCTGAACATAGGCCTCCCCCAAAGATTGCTAGACTAGCCGCCAGACGCTACGTGCATCCGGTTACCCGCCGCCCTTACCAGATCAACAGTCCTACTAGTAAGGGGCCGTCCATCTGAACGCCTTCCGGTTCATCGTCTCCATTCGAGAACTATTCTGTCCCAATGACCATCAGTTCTACGAGCTATGTGCCTTGCCCGCTGCCACTTGCTAATCCTCTGAGCTATATCGGTTACTTCTTCAATCACGTAGAGAAATGCCGAGCTTGCTCGCTCCATAGCTCGTGGAATAACTTTGAACGTTTTTATGGGGTCCATAGTAAGTGAGCACGTTTCAGAGCTGTCATTGCGGTCATCACTTGCAACACGCACAGCCCAAAGACTTTTGTCTTCAAGGACTGCGGTATTGCATAAATAACATGATTACATGCACCGACCATGGTTGTAATGAGAAGAAAAAAGGCCCGAGGGTTTTATTTGGGGCATTATAGTCAAGTTAGCCTGCATGCATTCATATTATTTACGTGTAACTGTGATGAAAAACAGGGTACGGGAATTACGAACCAAGACTCCGAAAGCCGACTCTTCGACTGCGGGCTTCTAATCTTCGTAATTCCACATTTGCCGCCCTTAATACACAATATACTAATACATCATAACAATACAAAAACTGTTTATTTGATATACATAAATATAGATTTGATTTGTCCAGCCAAGTCCATTAGGATTGGACAATGCAACCTGCCTGAAACCATTTTCAGGATGCCGTTGGGAATACTTCTGGTACGAGTCATAAGAGCGAAACTATTTTTTTTCGCATTATCGCTTGGAAACAGAGATGTGCAAGTGCCCGAGTTTTAACCGGCGCTGTGTTTAAATCGGATTAAAACCCAATTGACCCCGAAATCGAATGCAAAAACTATTTACAATTAAATATTTGTAAATCGAGTTTTGTCCGAATGTAATGGTATTATTACAAAATGTTTATTGCTTACATATTTTACCTTTCTATTGATTTTCGATTGAAAATCGCTTTAACATGAATCGATACAGAAAATGTTGTGGATATATTAAATTCATAGAAATATTCTGTAGTCCCACATTGGGCGCCATTTTTTCTACATTGCCTCTCACTTCTAATTCAATCACAGGAGGCGCTGAGACTAGCAGCGGTGGCGGGTGATCAGGGTTGCTATGCGAGGGCTGTGCGGATTGCTGGTGACGTTTACCGAAGGAGATGTGACGTTGGCAAAGCTATCAGGTATTCATTTAAAAATCTAATTAAAAGTTGATTGAAGGATTGTATATCCAAATTATAGGAACAAATTCTTCACGCGTTATAAATTAAAAATCATTTGATACTATTAAAAAGAAAATCACATTTAAGTTGTAGATGAAACTATTTTACCGGATCCAAAATGGCGTTACAAACAAAATGCAAACAAACTAATTTTTTGGGCTCTTTACAAAGTCTCGGTGAACAATTCTCTACTCACGTTTGAAGTAACGGCTTCTGAGTTTTATTAGACTTTCATATAGTCTTTTTCAATCGGTTTGCTATAGTAGCTTTGGAAATGGATAGTACAATCACAGACATCAGTGATGCGTTACTCCAAATCAACGACGATAAATTATCATTTCCAGGCATTACGAAGTAGCAATGGGAGCAGGTCAAGCGCTAGGCGACAGATTGGCGCAAATGGAAGCCATGGACGGTGCAGCGCGATGCCTTGAAGCTCTGCGGCTGCAAGGCAGAATTTGCAACTGCCGACCGCTTGAATTTAACACTCGCTTGTTGGAAGTTGCTACATCTGTTGGTGCTAAGGTACTAATATTTCAAAGGTCTTCAATTGGAATCAGGCGTGCCAAGACGCATAAAGGTGACTCGGTGAAAGGTGCGCTGCGGAGCCTTGAACACCGCCATTTTATTCTATAGTCTGATTTTTTTTTCTTCTTTCCATAAAGGAAAAGGCAAAGGTTTTATACCATACAGCCAAGTCTTGGTACATTATTTTTGAGCCATGTCTTCGTTTAATTGTTTCTGTAAATATGGCCGCCACAAAGAGGATAGGCAATTTGAGGCGGCGAGCTTGGATTGACTCGGGATTCCTTAGAACGGGCCGATACGGGTATTTTAGTTCGAGATTCGTATAATTTGGCGTTTTAATCTTCGATTAAGGCACAATAGCACTATCCTATTCCACTTTAAACTAGATTTCACAAAATAATTGAAAGTCAAAATAAAAACGACACTTTTCCCTCCAAAAGGTCCAGAGCGAATCTTCTATAAAAGAAGATCTAGAAGTTCTAATGATTACTAATTGCGTTATTCTAATTTTGACAGTAGGCCTATTAGAATCGAAATCAATTTTTATTCCAAACTTTTTTTTTAACCAAAAGCAGCTTTGATTAACTTCTGCCTTGTCAAACCAATACACTAGAAAGTCACTTACAATGTTTAGATTCAACAGCGCTCATATGATTTCTGTAGGCCTAATCTATACCCTGACATTTCAACTTTGGCGGTTGTCGTGTTGTTGAATGAGATTTTAAAAACTAAAATACACTGTAAGATTTAAAATATAGAAATTATTTTTACGTAATACGATACACAGCAATTACAGTCTTTTGGTATGATAATTAAGTAACGTGAGTTAAGGGCGCCTGGGTTAGCGAAAACTCTCAGATCGCACAAATGTCTCAGGAGCGGGGGTCTACTAACATTTGTCACGGCTCAAATTTTAACAATAGGAAAAGACATTCTATCCTGTCCAACCAAAACACTGCAAGGTTCAATATAGTGTTTTGTAATTTCGTAACAACAAGAATCTTTCGGCTGTTAACGAGGGAATAGTTATTTGTTATGCAAGGCTGCAAAGTTGTTGTTTGACGCATGTGTTTGTATTGAAACTTGAGCAAGCGAAGGTAGCTAAGATTGAATCACGAGGGAAGCGAGTGGTTCAAAAATAGATTCCTGAGTGTAGAGAAAACAACTTTGCTGCCGAGCGAAACTCACAACTTTTCACGTAATGTTCAAAGTGGTAGTTGAAAGAAAAACAGACGAACTTTAAAACATTTGTTTTTTTAATTATAAGAAAAAGTTTATTTTCGGATGCGTCCTGAATTTACACCTCATTAATTTTTATTCTTGCTTATACTTTTATTTTGTGTGATTAAGTGATTATTGAAATTATTTTAGCTCTTCGACGAATTAAAATAATTTAATAAAGAGAATTCGTTGTCAATTTAATGTCAACAATAATAAGAATGAAATATACCAACGGATTTATCATAACGGATATAATCTCGTAGATGAACGTGTCATTGTCTTTTTTCTTTACCGGAAGAAAATGTTACTGTGCACCATTGACTTACAATTATATGTGCACCCATAGTCCATTGTCAAGTTCGAATTTCAAAAACCTTTTCCACGCTAGCGTGCAAAAAAACGCTTTTGAAAGAAAGCCTTTCCGAGCTAGAGAGGTGAAATAGTTATTTTTGATACGAGTGTGGAAAGTTAGTCATTATTCACGAGTCTCGAGGTTTGAAGACTTGAGACATGTGAAAATGACAAATCCGCACGTGTATCAAATGATGTTTTTTAATACATTTGCGAAAAAACTACATTGAAAGTAAAATAAAACAGTATTAAAAAAACTCATTTTATTTCTTTGCCTGATAAAAATTCAGAGTACAATGGCAACTGTTGCCAGTATTCAGCCACGTTAAAATAAAATTACTATTTTAGTGGCGCGGCGCGCAGCGGTCTCGCGTAATACTCACCTCCTGTCATTGTTAATACTCAATCAGCCTTCTTTATGGAAAATATTTTGGTATTTTTAAATGTAACCCGTTGTTTTATAAAACACCTATGCAATTTAAACAAATAAGATGTTTGTAAGTAAATATAAGTTTTAATGACGAATGACTAAAGCACATAAATATTAAATAAATATACAACCTCTTTAGTTCTATGTTTAAGACTTGAAACAACAGTAAATAAATAAAAAAAATGGAAAAGTAAAAAGCACTAGTGGAAAAAAATCCAACTTTCGGCACGATAGTACGAAAAATACCACGTTTTGAGCACCTGTACTAAAAAAGAAATTTATTCGTTTTTCAATACAAATAACTTTCCAGATTAAAATTATAATGGTTAGATAGATTTCTTTAATATCTAATGTACAACGTAAGTTAAATGTAACTTTTTATGATATTAACTTCAAAAATTACAAGAAAATAACGCAAAATCCTTTTTGTTGAAAAAGTTTTTTCTCAAATTGCTGTTTTTGATATTACAATGTTTTGGTCTGACACGATTGACTTATAATACTGACAGAATTTTCACGTAGCCTAAATACTACCATTGCCATTGTTTTGTATAGATGCTAGTTCGCCGCGTGCGTCTACGCCTGGCGGAGATCTACACGGCACTGGGAGACAACAACGCGGCGGCGCGGCAGAAACGTGCAGCAGCCGCGTGGGTCGCACCGCAATGCGCGCGCTGCCGCGAACCGCTCGCCGAACAACCAGAGCCGCTCGCCTCGTTGCCTTGCGCGCATATAGTACATCATGCGTAAGTTAGCCAATTTTTACATTAACTTATTTTTCTCAAACATGCTCGGAAACGTTTGCATTAGTTTCAAGAAACGAACACGGCAAGTTTGTCCTCTGCCAATTAAGCCACGGAACGAATCAACAGACCTTACGGATTTTTAGTGCTTCTTGCAGATCTCTTTGTTTTTGGTTCTTAACGACGTATTGTATCTAGTAAGTACGTCCCACATTTGATATAAGATCATTCTGCCATGTACAATTTCGTTACAAAAATTCGCAATTCCGTTCCACGACGATGTAAATGCCCATTTACACGGAACCAATTGGCGAGCCATTCCACAATATCAAGCCATTAAAGCAGTCTAGTGAAAAGTGTGAAATTCGCAACGTCCTTCTACACTACAACCAGTATTACAATAAGTTTCTTTATTAAACGGCAATACAAACTAGTGGAGTGGCTCAGGACGCACGTTCGCACAAGGTCCAATACATGAGACAATTCAATGCACGTGTGGTAAAATAATCGACTGGTATTATTACCGCCCTCGTAATTGCCACACGTTCCAGCTGTATGCCGGAGTCGTGGTCGAGGCGGTCGACGCGCGGCGCGGGAGTGGACACGCAATGCGCTGAGTGCGCATCGCCCCGCGCAGCGCGCGCGCCGCCGCCGGCGCCGCCTGCGCCGAGGACGCTGCCGTCGCAGGTAAACAAATCTAGCCACAGCCATCACTGATTCATTGACGTAATTCTCCTTGTCCTTGTTTCCTTATGGTGGCACTTCACTTGTATTTGCATATTTGACACATTTGCCAAACCATCACCAATCATGTGTAGATGGCATGTATAACAAAGTATTTGCCTTATTTGCCTATTCGACAAATACAGCAAACACCAAACTCGCATTACCGCTCGCTGGTCCGTTTCTCGATGCACATCAAAGGAGCCAAATATGCAAGTAATCCGTCCATATATAGGTCATATTTGTCAGGGTCTGCATGTTTGTCTGTACGTCAAATATTTTTCCAAGTACAACAAATCTACTCATCCGAAGAACAGAGTCTGATCTGATTATACAGCTAAAATATAATAAATACATAATCTCGTTATTCAAAATAAGGCCAATCGATAGATGTTTTCAGAATGTTTACCTATGTCTTATTTCGTTTCGGAAATATAAAATCGAACAACAGTCGATCTGCGAAGAACAACGAACGATATGTACAATGTTCTGAGAATAAACAGTCTTACACATACGCCTATGTTCTATGGGTGAGTCGAGATATTCAGTAGTGAATACACATAGCCAATTGAAGTACCACCATTAGGGCGCTTTCAAATTATGAAGCGCGTCAGTAATATTGTTTAGTTAACTAAATGTGACTGCAAAAGTGACGTGTCACTCATTGCAATTGCGCTTCTAAATATTGTATGAAAATTAATAGTGCCACTGCAGCGCTTCTTTAACCGTCTAATTTGAGGGCTCCCTTAATTTCTTTATTATTTATAGTACCAAGCCACGGGACGAACAAGTCGTGCGCCTGATGGTAGGCGACACGTCTATCCATAACAGTTACAGTGCCATTCAGTACTATAAATCGCAAACATGTTATAAGCACTACCACTGCGCCCGTCACCCTGAGACATTAGTTGCCAAGTCCCACGTGCCTGTAATTTCTCCAGGACCCTCACACATCAAAACTGGGACGCGATTTTCAAATATTGACGTTGATGACTCAAATGTAACATGCGTATCAAGAAGGAAATGATATTTCACTTACGTAATATAAATACTGTGTTAGAGGCACAATGAGTTAGTTCACAGTTATCGCTAGCGACCGCGTATGTCTGTGTCATCGAGTATGTAACCAGAAATAGGTTGAAATAAGGGTTATCCATCCCTGGCAAATCATCAGGCAAATGAGCCTTACTTCACTTTTAAATAACAACTCTCGTTTGCGCTGAAATCACAAATTAGAAAACTGTACATATCGCACCCTTAGTAATATAAGGGCACAATCCAAAAAAAGTAGATTTTTGGGAAATTTGGGAAGTGATAGGGACTTAAATAATAAATGGGATCAAACTTATATAGCTCCATATTTCTGTTATATTTTTTGTACTATATGGGTCTAACTTGAAAGTGTTTTTTTAACTTGCTTGAAACTTATGGAATTTATTTATATTATTTTTTTTTATTGCTCTTTATAATACATTTATCAAAGAACAAATCTACCAAATTTCATATTTATAACTTAAATAATAAGCATATTATTTGAAAAAATAGGTGTAATGTAGGAATCCAGAATCTTAATACGCGATTTCCCAAAAATCTACTTTTTTTGGATTGTGCCCTTATATTACTAAGGGTGCGATATGTAAAAGTACAGCGTCAACAACTGTCCTGTGTGTACGTCTCCGTGCATTCGAAAAGTATTTTGTATTTATTACAATAAAGATAATATTTCCAACTGTGGGGAGTTGTTCCATTCGGTGGTGTGGGAAAAACAGCAATACATCTAATTACAAAACAAACGGAATCACATTTCATCGGTAATTAAATATTAAATATGTATTTTTTAAATTATAGTCCATTATAGCAAAGCTCAAGTTAAACTGGTCGCTTGAAGTGAAACAATTGACGACACCCGTCAATTGTTTCGAATTCGGGTTGGCCAATCGGAGCGCAGTTGTCAGCACAATGATTTGGCAGAGTAGTTTTCAAACAAATTAAATGATATTTCGTCTCTGTTTCTGATTATATACTCGATGATTTGTATACAAAACCTTATTTCTTCTTGTGACCGATAGGGTAACACTGTATAATTTGTCATACAAAATTGTGAAGTTATTAACACGGTCACTAGCGACAACTGACAGAGAAAACTCATGGTAGAGGCACAGGCGCAGGGGAACAGCCTAGTTTTTAAAATTGTTTGTGCAAAACAAAACGTTATTACCGTAAAATATTTCCAGTAAGTCTTATATTATAGTACAATAGTTTATAGATTCAAGCATTACTTTGTGCAAATCCATAGTAAAAACGGAAGTAAGTTAGCTGGCCACTCCGCGAACTCAGTGAAGGAAGGTTTAATAGGAGTAGAGCTCCCTGTGAAAGAATTCGTCCAGGGAAGTACTGTCACTTTACCTATTTCAACCGCCAAGTAGTAATATCAGCATTACTGTGTTCCGGTTTCTTTTTTGTTTTCGGAAATTAGGTGGCTTATGTATTTGGGATTCCTCACGGAAAAACCGTTCCGAATGCAAGTCTTCCATAGATTTTACAGGGCCGCAACACACAGTCGTAATTTCCGTACGTATTTTCGCTGTGAGAACATGTGGACTTAATGCCTCGCGTCTCTCAGCTGAGTCTTATTATTCCGAACGGAAATAAACGTATGTGTGTGACGTATATACGGAATCTCGATACGGAAAATCGATATTCCGAAACGGAATTTCGTCTTCCGACTGTATGTGGCCGGCCTTAACCTCCACATTGTTGTTTATCTGGAAAAAAATACGCATAAATTTACAGAGTTTTGTATATACAAAACAGGATTTCCCGTTCGGCACGCCGCCTACTCTGCGTGAGTCGGACCTCAACTCCGTGCTCTCCGATCACAGCAGCCAGCAAGCCACTTCCAGCGTTTAATTCGTTCAATTTTACAAATATTTATGTTTAGATACGAAAACAAAGTTTGAATTTGGATCTCCGCCATTTTTTGAGACTGTTCTAACGGATAGTTTGATTTTTTTTTCTTCGTTCGGTTTGGAACAGGCGAAGGTCAGAGACCATACCGCCTAGTCATTAGTTTTGATTTTCATTGAAAATTTTTGACAACTACCTAATACACCTTTACGAGGATTGTTATCAAACTTTTCTGTTACATTTCTGAACGAAACTTGCTGAACATTTAAAAAATACTTGGAATAACGATATGACCAATGGTATCAATGCAATAATATGCGTAAGCACGAAATTGCAATATTGAGAAGAGACTTTTATTCATTACGTTGTAATAAAAAGAAATGAGAGAATATAAAAATTGTAAGGACATTGTGTGCTAAATGAATCCTAAAGAATTGTCATATAATCGATGAAAAAGGAACGAATGTCCATATCGTTTAAAATTAATCTAATTTGTATAGGATACAATTCCTTTGAAAATGCGCTTTATAATTATCCTTTGTTTTTGTAATTAATTATTGAATGATTAATATATTTTATTACGTTACGACACTTACCTATTGATGTATATTTCAATCAATATTATATAATATGAAAATCCAGAAATATATACATACATATTATTATAAGCTATCTATAGTATATATTGATTTGTGGTAAGAATTACTTACCAACGCTTATTATTATTAATGTTATCGTAAATGTTGGATATTTGTTGCTACATACAGGGTATTCATTTGTTACATGCAAATAGAGCAGGCGGTAATTCAGTATGCTTCATAGAAGCAAATCGACCCCTCCTACGTAAACTATCGTATGTCGAAATTGCCAAGTTTACAGGGGACTAACTAACTACTACTAACGCGGATATGCGTCAACAAGCGGGTAAACTAAAATGAGATTGAACGGGCCGGGCGACCGTATAAAATTATAAAATAAATTGTGGTTATTCATCTAACTCATATCTAGGATTTTATAATACTCTATGTGAGTAACGAGCTTTGCCGATTAACGCTGAGAAATGCTAAAGTCACGTGTTATGCCCATTTCAGTGAATTCAAAACTTTAAAACGCTCCCCTGTAAACTAGCCTATTTCGACATACGATACTTTACGAAGGAGGGGTCGCAATATAATGAAAACAATATTAATTATTTCACAAAAGCTTTTACGTTACCCTTTAGATGCTTTAGAGAACTTTATTAATTATGATATGAATAAAAAAATATTATATACCTAGTTTTAGGTCATTCATAAACCAGCCAAAGATTACTTGATTATAGCGGCTATGCTCTCTTGCCTGCATTAACTAGTCAGTTTAGTTTACTACGTAATCAAAGATTTTTGCTAAAAGGGGCTTTATATAAACAATTTTAAAAATGAAAAATTAAATTTAAGTAAGCAATACTGAATCTCCCCTTGCTCTATGAAATAACACCCTGTTTATTTATATAAATAAATAAATTATAATAAATATATGGATTTAAATTATGCAGTAGGTAGAACATAGATTGTAAAGATATTCCGATATAAAACAGATGTCTATTTACCTATATATAAATGTCGATTCTCTAATGTCCTATTTCTAAAACTACAATTCCAAAATTATTACCATCCATTTCAATATTTTAACATTTAAGAACACAATTTTACCTTCAGCTTTAAAACTTGTGCATTAGTATGTTTCGTTTTGTATTTTATCGCTTTTCTACGAAGCCTGTATATTAAATATTAGATTTAGAAATTGTACCCTAAAGAATCGACATATGCTTATTATAAATAATAAAATGTTATAGTAATTTCAAACTAAACACTGAAGTAGTAAATGTTACGCTAAATTTGTGTCCACGTTAGTCCACATTAAAAAGGTACTGCCAAAATATTTAGTATGGTCAATTAAATATAAAATCACTAAATAAATGAAACAAAAACATCACTAAATATATTAAACAAAAAATCACTAAGTAAATAGATGAAACTCTTAAAAAATAGACGCACTGGTTTTAAATAAAATGCACAAATTCAGGAACAATTTAATTAATAATACATCAAAGTATTTGTGTTACGTAATGTTATTGAATAAATATAACGCGTAACACGTGTTAGGATATATGAAATTATGTGTATGCAAAATATTAACGAGACCCTTGTCACTAAGTTTAAAAAAACATTAGATAGTCAATTCCGGATTTATGAACGGAACTGCTAAACATATTTACAGAAACATAATTAAACGAGGACATGGCTCAAAGGACTTGTATCGAAGCCAAATTATTAATAAAAAGAATCATGTTATTTTAGCAGCTCCGACAGCATACATGTTTGTACTGATTAATTCATAAATTGAGTGATAAATCTGCCACAAGTAAATAATTTGTTGTCAGTTCTCATTTATCACAGCTAAATTTCAGGAGTTGACAACAATCTTATTGGTGATTCTAAGAAATATCTTGTAAACATATTAAATAAATAAAATAAGAAACTAGGTGTCAGATGCAGTTTCGATCCGTAAATATTCTACGTATTTATATATATTTATACCTATGTTACATTCACTCCGAAATTTTATTTATCATTCAACTTTAAAAATTCTATGTTAAGTAGAACTATTACGTCATTCATGATATAAAATAGATAGAAGAATATTTAATTATTGCAAGCTAAAAATATGAATATATACTGTCATAAATATAGATTAAAGAAGACTAGGCAAACGGATTTAGATATCGGTTCCACACTGTAATCATTGTCTCATTAAAATATCGATGTTACCCCTGACGCAATTTTTTAAAGAAACAATGAGTATTGCCAAATTGAAACTCAAAATAAATCAAATAACATCAAGTGTGATAAGAGGGACATACTTGGTTTTGAGTCGTTTTTGAATCAAATGTTTTTTTTTCTCATCGTACTTCTTAGAAAAGCAAGATTTCACAAATCTCAACTTCCTTATTCCCGCCTTTTGGATTTGGAGCATCGTAACGACATCTCTTTAATATTATTCAAACTAATTTGTTTGTGTTTTACCGACTGAGATACTATATAGTGCAAACTTTTTTAAATATGAGTTAATGTATCAAGCCCCTCTTCCCCCAGTGACCTTCTTACCTCACTTGACCGTATATATAAACGACGACCTAGTTTTACATGCACTATTTGCAAATTTTTGTAACATGCACTATTTTGTTTGCTATTCTGTACATTTCTTCATAGATAGGTATTACAATCTTCCCTTTCCTTGCCTTTTTTGTTGGACTACTAAATATTTAGATAAGTTTGTCAAGTTGCAATATTAATAATATTAGTTATGTAGAGATATATTCTTTCATTTAAAATATTTATGACCTTAGCACGGAGTCTTGTTCCAAACGAAATCTTGTGCCCTTCAAACGTACCTGCACAAATTCTATAATCTTAAATGTATAATATTTAAGTACAACTATTACTATTTTTTATGTAGTATTTTAATTTGCAATTAGAAAATGTTGCGAGATATGTAAAATACTTCAAAGTGCATCATTTCGCTAAATGTCATAAAAATACAAATCGATACTTCATGGAGGAAAAGGCGCTAAAGCCAGTTTTCTAAATACTGTTAAGGATGAAGTTGCGTTAAGTTTTCTAGCCCTTTCAATTCAAAATCCAAATATTTTTGAAAGGGTTTGTTATTCATCAAAAACGCAAACGTACTTCAAAAAATAGAAAAAGATACTAGATTTAGAATATTAGTTTTTAAATACGGTACTTAACTACCATTGTCTAATCAAATAACACGTATATTTAACAAATTTTCATAGGGGTTATGGATTATCTTTCTATCCGACATTCGTCCGAAACAATTACAGAAATTTATTTAATTCAATTAACTGTCAAATCAGTAATACTTGTAATAAGTATTAAAAAATGCATGATACAAATGAAGCTTCATATTATACTTAATATTGTCTTTCGATGTTACTTATTTTGTTACGGACGGATGTTCGACGGAGAATACGAGTAGACCCCTGTTTCTAAAGGTTTAACACTACTGACCACTGTTGAACAGCAAGTATGTAGAAAAAAGTACTCCTGATAACTTTTGTGGCTGTCACAGAGGTCTAACAACGTTTACACACTACGTCCGATTCATACCTGGGGGTCTACTCTCGATCTCCGTCTACATCAGTCCGAAACAATTACTGCCAAATAAGCAATACTTGACCAGATGAAAAGACGCGTGATGCGAATGAAGCTTCATACTGGATACTTGTCTTTTAATTTTGTCGAATACTACTTATTTGACAGTAATTGTTTCGGACGGATGTCGGACGGATATCGAGAGTAGCCCCCACGAAACGCGTTTACACAGCTACGTATTCTTGGTCATCAACTTGTAAAAATCTTGGTCGAAATTATACTATTGATTGAAATATAACGTTCCCTTTATAATAAATTTTAATAAAGTTATAATAAAGAGAAACCCGAATTTGCACGTTTCCTTAATGGTGCATAAATTTCAATTTTATTTTGTCGTGACCAAAGCCAAAAAAGCAGTTTTTGAAGGGACAAAGTTTTTTTATGTTTCAATGTCAACCAATTGGCATTTAATTTTGTTCGAGACAATGTGAACTCTTTACTTAATAAAATAGCCTAGTAATCTTTCTAATAGTAATCCTTAACGTTAAGGTTACTATAATCTTTTAACACTAAAGGTTCACGAGTCTCACTTGCGTTTTTCGCTTGCTTGCGTGACTCGCTTCGCGCGTACGCAAAGATCTGTCGTGTATCGTTGGATTTCTTTGCGTTGCGTGAGTTTGGTATCTAACAAGCTTGATATTTCCACATACGCCACAGGGAACGTTTGCGGAGGACAATACCACTGGCCAATGACAAAGCAGCAGCGTCCACACGCAAGTCTCTCCGCGTCGCAAAGCGGAAGACTCGTTATCGCCTTTGCACGGAAGTCAGATTTCTACACCGTGTACCCACGCAACGCAAGTAAAAGACTCGAGAACCGGGCATAAAAGATTATGAGTTGCGACTAAATACAGGCTAAAATATACTAAATAAATAAATAATTTTACCAATGGCCTTGACAGTTGAGTGGTTTCGCTTTAACGCCTTTTCTTCCTCGACATATCGACAAAGTCCAGTGCTCTAAATTCTAAAACTCTTTCTCTCACTTAAGACTAGGAATTGTAGTAGATGCACGAATACTATGGTCTAGATATTCCATTTTTAAACCTTTTTTATATAATGCGTTTCGTAAGTATAATAAAACCCAATGACATTTTATTTGTCAAATGCACCTTACAAGCCGTGATACTGGGCAGTATGGTGGGTCGATCACAGCTCATCCTTGTCATAACTAACGTAACATTTTATAAAATAAAACATATTTTTTTTAATTAAGATAATATCTTAGGGATTCGCTCTGGACCTTTTGGAGGGAAAAGTGTCGTTTTTATTTTGACTTTCAATTATTTTGTGAAATCTAGTTTAAAGTGGAATAGGACAGTGCTATTGTGCCTTAATCGAAGATTAAAACGCGAAATTATACGAATCTCGAACTAAAATACCCGTATCGGCCCGTTTTAAGGAATCCCGAGTCAATCCAAGCACGCCGCCTCAAATTGCCTATCCTCTTACAGAAACATAATTAAACTACATGTTTAGGCTGATGGCTTTGCCAAGTCCTTAATAAATAAAAAAATATAATATCTTAGAATAATAACGCATAGAATGATAGTTTCATATCAAACGAACTGTCACAAGTGAGGCAAAAATCAAATTCATGTAGGCGTAAGCAACTTGTATCTACGCTCGTCAGCACGCACACAAATATACAAATAATGATGCCATGGAATAACATTTCCCTCAAAAGTGTAGTATAAGTAGTATCTATTTTATGTTTGCCTGACGTATTTTTACACTCATTTACCGCACATTTCGTCATTTTTAGCTAAAATTCTGGAGCTGTTCGCGGTGCAAGATGACCTTGAGCGCTAAAGGCCCGCCTGCTCGTGTAGGCCCATTGGGAGCGCTTCAATTTGCCTCGCTTAGCGTGTGCGGGTAGGCCCATTGGGAGCGCTTCAATTTGCCTCGCTTAGCGTGTGCGGACTAGGTTTCTATGCGTTATTATTCTAAGGATAATATCATATCTGGGATGAGCGAAACAAGATCTTCAATCCCCTCTAATCGGTTTTTTAATATCTTATTAAGAGCACACGGCGTATTTTTTACGGCGCCGCAGACGCGCTGTAGTGAATCGATATTAACGCGCCAACATCGCATTGCAAGCAAGAAGACACTTTACACTTCGAACTTAATGTAATTGCTTCATTTCAAAAAACTAACTGAAATTAACAAACAAAACTAAAATTTAACGCGCGATATATTTTCATCTCGCACACAACTCCGCATAGCACACTCGCATAGATTCTTTTGCTCTCTTGGTACATTCCTTTAGGTACTTTAAATTAAATTCTATTTTGCATTATTTTGCCATGAACAAAGTAAAATGTAAAAAGACCGTCAATTCTGGCTTAAAAGTAAAACTTACAATGAAACAGAGGATTTGTTGTTTCGTAATGATTTTTATATAACCATTAATTTATAAGTACTAATTATTGTATTGTTAAATATAGAAAATCTGTTTTTAAGCTGTAATATAAAGAAATTGGCCCAAAAAGATGTCTAAAATACAGGTGCACATTTAGGTCATATATGTTCCTTTCTTAATGCTTATTTCAATTGCTTTGTTATAATTGTATTTTATTACATGAAGTTATATTGAAATAAATTTAAAACAGCGCGTATGCGGCGCAGTACACGCGCAGATGACGCGCGTTACGCGCGTCGTCGTCGCGTATACAATATACCATGTGCATAGGCTCTTACTTTCAGTTTTATTGTTCCTGAAATTTTTTTTAGGTGGTTTTATTTAAATCACGAAAGTTGTCGAAATGTAAATACATCTTAGAGGATGGAAAAAACTAAAGGAAATACGTTAGTTATGACAAAGAGGACAGCACAGAGGTGATAGACGCATTAAATAAAAGCGGTTCAATTGTGGTTCTTTATTTTCAATAGCAAATAGATTATTGTCTTCAATCTATGCTATTACGATGCAGTAATAATGTATTTTATGAATATTTATTTGATTAAAGTTAGTTAAAAGGTTGCTATCTTGAATAGTCCTTTAAGCAGATAAGTAATTGTGAATTTTAACCCTTTGTAGAATTGTGATCTTTTTATTGGACTCAATGTTTCATGCTTTTAAATTGTGTTTTATAAGTAATAAACCCACGTCAGAGCTCCAATGTGATTCAGAAGATATAAAATTGTTATAAAAAATAAAAAACCTTGTAGTTGTGAAATTGGCGTTGTGTTTCGGTCTTTCTAGGTAAAAATTGAGAGTATAATAATATGACTGTTCGTTATATTTAAATATTTTAATTGAAATATATTAATTTGAAAATGTTTTGTGCAGTTTTAATAAAATAGAAACAAAATTAAAAAAATAAGTTTTAAAATTAGCCGCGTATTGTCCAAGCTGTCATTTCTTGTATCGTTCAGAAACAAGATGTCAAATGCGGTTGAAATTCTTAATTTTCTTGTCTACAATACGTGTGAGAGAGTTAGCGACATACAAAAGTTTCATAGTATGTCTCTTTCTTACCATATTAAACAGGTAGGAATATTCATTAGGCTGCATACGAGAAGTCAATGCATCATTGGAACACAACAAAGTTGTTTATTAAAAAAAATAATTTGTATTGATTTTCCGAGAGCTGTATCCCGGATTTTTCTAGCTGAAATACCTGGAATTTCTCACTAACACTACGGCTCCCGTACATATACATTAAGAACTATAGTTGCGGAGTGCATAAAGCAATATTAATTGCGCAGTTTGCCTCTACCTTGCACCGTTGTGGACGCTCATCAGTCCGTGAATAAAATTTACATTTTTAAGTGATTTTACGGTGTTTTTTATTAAAAATGAGTGCGTTAATGCAACAAGAGTCGATCGTGAAGGAGAGCCTCTTTCGATTTATCATGAATAACATCCCTACAGCGAATTTGACGCAAATTGATGACATCGTGCTCTCCTATGTGATCTCTATCCTTGAAGAGTCCTCTCAGGATTCGGTCTTCGATGTAGACGGTAAGAATTTTCCAGAAAGTCTTCCTAGATCTGCCGTCTATTTATATCTTTTATATTTTATGAAAAATATTAAAAACTTGCGTAATTAAGCGTTATTATAATAGTTGTGTAATATTATCCCCTAGCATTTACAAAAGAGCTATTGTTACCTAATAAAACAAGTTTCTTTTGAACAATGTGATGCTGCCAGGTGTGCTATTGTTTCTAGTTTCTTTACTAACAATAATAACGGTATATTTCTATAAAAACATGAATTTTCTACTGAAATCCTGCAAAAATAAAAAGCTTTATATATCAGAAATTACCACCTTTTAATTAAGAATAAAAATCAAAACGCGTTTCAAATGCCTGAAACATTGTTCTTATAACCATTTTCAATTGAAAAATTAGCAACTTGCATCATTTGTAACAATTTTTCATACTAAAAATCAAAGTGCATATTAAAAATGCAACAGGGTGTAGCCCTTGTGCATCTACGGCGCATGTCCTAAAAAGGGCGACGCAACCCCTGAGAAGCTGGAAGGGGGGAAGGTTCGTTCACCCCTATCACCTACAGGTCAACCTAGATAACCTAGACCATGAATTTACCTGAAAAACACAATAAAAGCTCTTAAAAGTAACAAAAATCCATCTCCTTACTATTCAAGATGCAATGTAAGACCTGAAACTAGGTAATAGACTTCAATAAACACTACAAAGTTTCGATTTTTAACTATATGTAGCAGAGATTGTATGTGTATATGCCAGTAGATCAATATCTGTTGACCTATAAATAGCAACAGCGAATGGAAATTTGTACCTATGTGTATATAGTAAGAGAAGGGGGAAGGATGCTGTATTGATTTTGTAATGTGTACATAGAATTGGATATCTGCATCTAGATTGTGATGCAGATATCCAATTATATGTGTACATGAGATGTGTATAAGGCCTTCAGCAGCTTTTGTTGTTCATATTGTATTATATTTTCAGTAAAGAAACCTTGTTTTTTATTTAATGATCTATTAGTAATGGTTAGTTGAGCAATCTTAACTAACTAATAGTTACATTTTAATATTAAATTCTTTGATTTGTGTTTAAAATTGTAGAGACAAAGACTGCTTACGGTTTGAGGGTTCAGATTTCTCTAACTTGTCCTTAAATTTGAGCCATAAAGCAGGATGTCTTAGTTTATAACAGTAACATTTTACGACTAGACACGAGGATTTTTTATCTGAAATTCGATCTGAATTTGATTTGACGCTAGCAAGATATCTAGCGAAAATAACATAAAAGTACATTAGATCATGGCAGGTGAAAATGCTTGCAAAGCTCCAAATCTAGAAAAAATACGCCGCCAGTTGAATTATTTCTAATTTCCACTCTATTTGTCCTAGACCTGACTATTTAGAAACCATTTTGGGCAGACCCATGCCCAGCAGCTAGGGCAAAAAGAGGGTTAAGAAACTATTCTCTTTAGGTACTTTTTAGGGGCAGTGCAGCAGTAAAAAAAATTAAACCCTCATAGTTATCTCAAGTGTCAAGCGGTGAAGCTCAATCAGGTTGTAACAGGGTGCATTGTGCGGGTGCTCCCAGTTTATGAACACTCGTCCAGTGCTTTGTAATTTTTTTTAGAATATCGAGTGACGGGACGAAGAATTCGTGCGCCTGATGGTAAACGACACGCCTGCCCAATGCCACTCAGAGCTTTAAATCGCAAAGATCTGACAGGCACTGCCACTGCGTCCGTCACCCTGAGACATAAGTCGACAAGTCCCATGTGCCTGTAATTTCGCCAACACCCTTACCCTTCAAAACCGGAACACAGTAATGCTGACATTACTGCTTGTCGGCAGAAATAGGTTAGGTGGCAGTACTACCCTGGACGAAATCTTTCACTAGGATCTCTACTGCTACTTCATCGGATACTCCGAGGTCACCTTGGTCGTCACGATTACCAGCAGGCTGTTGGCACATTATGGCGTTCATTCAGGGAATCTTGATCTCTGCATTTCGAGAGTCTCGATGTTTTTTTGTCATTTTCGAAATTTGAGACAGATGTTTTCAGTCTCGGGAACATTGAAACGGACAACACAGTACAGTGGAACTTAGTTATAATCAGTGAAGATTGAAGAACGTAGTAATAAAATCTGGACCCTCTCTATCTGAAATTACATTATACGCCCTTTGTTTCTTTCGAGCTCACTTTAAAATGAAAAAAACGTTCGTAAATATTTTTTTATTGTATAGCATGAGTTAATGAAGAAAAATCTCATATTTGTACTGCCTAAACATCTAGTTCATAAGTGTGGAAATAGTCTCATAGGTCTCGATTTCCTGGTATTTTCGAAACCATACTCTCGAGTCTCGACTGCTCCGGTATTTTCCAGACCACACCTCTCGAGTCTCGATTTTTTTTCGATACTGAAAACCCTAGTCGCGGTGCAGTGCAGAATAAAAGCCACTCATATGTGCTTCCGCCAATTGCCTTCCAAACAAACCGCATAAGGCGAAAAACAACCCGGCAGTGACATTAATATTTTGTCTTTCCAGCTCAATATTGCCAGATAAACTGCTTATTATCTACATTAAAAACGGCAATACGAACCGTAAAGATAGAATATTAATACCATCGGGGTGTTTTTCGGCTTATGCGGGTTAGCCGGCAAGAAAGATACAGAAGCGTCCAGAACGCAGTGTTATAATGGACGCACAATGCCGTGAAAGTTCTTTGTGTGTATTCGTTCCACTGGCTGCACATATAAAGAGACTGGTAGTGGACTTTAAATGTTACAATAGCTGCTTTTCACGTGTTATAATTTTGCCGACAACATTTAACAAATCATGGTAATAAGTGACACTGTGATACTCACATGTGCCTGTAGTTTTACTCACATTACTGCTTGACTTCAGAAATAGTTATGGTGGCAGTACTTTTGTGGACGCACTCTTTCACAAAGAACTCTACTGCTATTAGGTATTCTTCTGAAAACCTCTAAACCTACCGAAATATCATTCTCGCTTTCTTTGCCAACGACACTATACTGTACAACTCTCGGCGCTTAGTCCTGAGCTGGTTTCCGTCGGCTCTCCAATCCGCAACCACACACGTAGGTTAGGGGTTCTGAACTAGGGAGAAGACAATGGAGAATCGATCTCAATCTCAACCAGTCGTCTACAAAGTCGCACGCCTACTCCCTCCCTTTTCGACCACCAAATTTCTTGGTAAATAAATATTCCTTGATTAAACTCGGAGTTTCACTGGGCAGGAAACTCGTTCATACAATACGGTTAATGGTTACGGTGTCCGCGACCGCGCTTACCTTGTTGCTTCTCCTCAAAAAACAGAGCAAGCTCTTTAGGAATAAAATGACCCAACACAGCTTTCATCAGACCTACTATAACCTATGCTAGAGTTGTTTTCGCACAAGTAAACCCCGCGCATATTCATCGTTTGCAGGTAAAATAGATTCATGTTCAAAGCTACAGATGCTCCTTATTACTCACGCAACACCAACTTTCACTCTGCTCCTCAACACCTTATAGCCTTCTTGTGGTGGCCGACTGGCTGTTGCCAACTACATCTCCCGCGTACAGGTCGTTCTGGTAACTACTCAAAGTCACACTACACAGAATAGCTGTCCTTGCCGGCAAAAAAGAAAAACCCTAACCCCCGGTTCAACGCGTATTTGCGGCATATTCTCAGTCGATTCTCTCTTTCTGTTCTGTAATGATAGTTTCTAGTAGCGTCTTTAACCAAGATCAGTGCCTACCTGGGCGCCCTCAGACCTGCTACTAAGCTTACACAATTGGTTAAAAGCCTTCAACCCGGTCAATATTCTCAGTCGATTCTCTCTTTTAGCACGCCCTTCTAATGATAGTGTCTAGTAGCGTCTTTCACCAAGTTCAGTGCCTACCTGGGCGCCCTCAGACCCGCTACTAAGCTTACACTATTGGTTAATAGCCTTCAACTCGGTCTTTTGCCCAGTGGTGGCGTGACATTAGAATGTCAAACATATTTCACCAAAAAAATCTTGTAAAATGTCTAATGACAACAATACATAGAAATACCAAAGTGACTTGTTCTGAAACTTGTATGGTTTGTTCGAGTAAGGTCCTTATCATGTTTATCATTATCTATACCTGTCGCATTAAGCTGATTCGCCGTCGACACAGCCAATCAAGCGTCGTCGATGGGACCGTCCGGATGTCGACGCCGCCGATCAGCCGTTATCGACTGCGTACGGATGCGATCGGAAATTGGCAAGAAGCAGATTGGTTACCGACCTGTGTCGCGTTGCGTCGTACGAAACAATGCGAAACGCAAGTCTTTTAAGCTCTTATTCCCGTTCCGACCGTTTAATGTGATCGAATAAGTCTCCCTAATAAGCCTAGTTGCATCGAGTCTTGAAGCAAAAAATACTCGATTAAACAAGATTAGTAAAATAGTGTGAGCACCGTTCAGCGCTACGAGAGTTATTGTCCTCTTCTATCCCTCCCATTGTCTATGAGGGTGTACAGTGCTTCTCTTTTTTTAAGGTGTCGTATTCCAACACCATCCGCGAATCCGCGCGCTGTAAATTAATAGAATAAAATAAGAACAGGCGGAGAAAATTTGACACAGATCCGACGTCGATAAACGCCCGATGGCGACAGACGGCAGCGGACGGCGTGGCGTGTCGCTAAGCTGCTGGGCAGTTTGCAGATTTTGGGATAGTGGTGAATTTCATAATTATATGGGGCTTCAGTCGAAAACCAAAATTTAACACTTTTTTGTATAAAAAATAAGTGCGCATAAGACCTCCATCTCACCTGATAGAAAGTGACGATGAGGTCCTCGAGGATGTAGCATGCACACCTAAATAATGCCTATTCACTCTCCAAATTATAGCGTTTGGGAACAAGTCTGCAGGCAGGGAATTCCACTCCCTAGCCGCTTGCCAAACAAATGTGGAAGCGAAACGCTTCGGGCGAATCCGGGGAATATCCACAACATAAGGGTGGAACCCCAGCCCAGGTCTAGTCCCCCGATGATGGAAACGGGAAGGCGGAATGAAATTATGCAATTCCATCTCACATTCCGTATATCCTGTAGAATACCGATACGCTGGCAACTCTACGGCGGTGTTCAAGTCTCTGCAGCTTCGCCTCTACTAATTCCCGTTGTCTGTACCACTTAAGAAAATATCTCCATATAAAAATTATGTACAAAGATATTTTATTCTTAAATAATTAATACATCCTATCGTGGAACACATTAGCCAATTCTTTAGACAATATCCTTAGGTGTATCCATTGACTTACAATTATATGGACGTCGGGTCCGCGCTAAAAAGTGTCCGAACTTATAGGGCGTTAAAATCGTATACAGAGCGTCATTCACGCTTTAGTCTTCGTTTGTTTGATTGACAGCGAAGCAAGCAAAATTAGACAGTACTGCGATGATATTACAATTTAAATTCAACGTTTTAGCTTTTTCATATTCCTTTACATGTCACTACGTTTAAATAGATTGACTTGGGACATTTTTTTCGTGGTTTTTGTATTAGACCCGTCGTCCATTTATTTGTAAGTCAATGGGTGTATCGTATATTTTTTGAAAGACTGTTATTTAAAAGTAAATACCGAAACCATTTGATCTGGCTTTCAAAACAGTTTTTCCCATTTCTCCATTGACTCGCCTTTTTTTTTTAATAATAACAAGAAAATTTAACAATTACGATTAATTAATTGATTCACAAAAAATTATTAATACTTTAATGAAATTCTTAATAATAATTCATTATAGGAAATGAAACTATTTTTCCGGATTTAAATCGCGTATATTTGTTTTTTCAAACAAACCGACGTTTCGGGCCCTTTACAGGTCCCATGGTCACGGTTGACTGAGGTGGTACAGTCTTCAACCAGTTATGTCTAATATTAATGCAAACCACCCTATTTTTTCACTCACACACACAAGTATACGCGATTTAAAGCCGGAAAAATAGTTTCATTTCCTATGTGTAACAATCGCGAAAACCTAAGAACTCAATAATTCATTAAATAATAATAAGCTACACAAAAACAATAATAATAATAATAAATATAAATATAAACGTGTAGTGTTGTGCACTTCGCATGTTATCTGGCAGCCGGTTGTAGACCGCCGGTGCCATTACATGTATTAATTTGATGTAATATATCAATATTATTAATCATATGTAATAGTTTAAATTCAGAACTACGTACTTTATTGTTCTATTGTTTTGATTTCCGTGTGATCTATATAGAATTGTAAAACTATTTACTTGTTTTAATAACATTTACTTCATGTCAATAAACAGGTTGACAAAACCATAAACTAAATAAAGCGTGCTTATTTTAAATATGCTATTCCGATGGAGTAGTTATTTTGCGTTTTGACTCTTATAACCAAGAACCAGTATACTGAGTAGACAATATTTTTATTAGTGATGCAACAGACCTCTGCGTCATCTTCCGCAACTGCGTAATTTCAACACACTTTTTCACATCTGTTTCCGTTTTTGCTTTCGCGACTTTTATAACAGTATTTTTATCGGAAGTTTAAATAACGTTCGCGATGGATCAGGTGCGCGTGCGTGTATTGCTGTCGGGCGAGCGCATGCATTATGAAACACAAGCCCTGTTTAGAACTATTTGGTTGACATTTTTATAGTATTTACATCAACGCTTCCGCATCCGCTTCCGTTTCCGTTTCTGCTAAAATTTACTTTTGACATCTGTTTCCGTTATGACACTTCCGTTGCATCACTAATCCTTATGTTATTTAACCAAAATACAACACCAAATGTCTTTATTTCATAACTATACAAATTACAATTGAAATTGTCGTATTTTCGACATCTATTGCTCATCCATAAGGCAGATTCCGAAAAGAAGAAACTTTAGGTTGTTCTCCCACATGCCAAGATAATCAAAATTGAAGTCTATATTAGTAACCAATCTATCCGAACCTTTTTTCTCCACCCCACAGGGTTTATTGAGATGATGACAGGCTACGTCCCTGAGTTCGGACGCCTGGATGCCGGTCAGGTCAGCTCCTGGGTGTTCCAACTTGAAGAGGAGTTACGACGGGATAGTGAGGACTCCTCATCTAACCACGGTGAGTTTATTTATCGATTGAAATCGGCTTTGACATTGATTGTCATTGGTGCCTCGGCGGTAAGCGCTCTAGACTCGTAGGTTTTTTTAAATGATACCAAACACAGAACAATAAATACCGTAGAAGTGGTTAGTTAGCGTCTGAAATACCTATCAGAGACTCAGTCCAGAATGTGGAGAGATAAAACCGAATCCCATATTCCATCTGCGTGCATACCCCGCCCCCGCTTCCCGCACGCTCTGTAGATGACCCCGCACCGTGACAATCAGCAACGCTTTTATTTCTACCCTCATTATCGCCCCCCTTTACAAGTTGAAGGAAATAAATTGTTATCAAACAAAGCGAAGGCATTCGCAACCCGCGCACTAAATAGTTGCCGATGTAGTGTAACGTTCAGTAATAATTAGATAATCAGATTGGTGAACATTACTTGAAGGCCTACCTCCGTCCGTCCTTTTCGCTTTGTATGGTATGGTTGTGTCATTCTTTCGTGCAAATCCTCTAAAATCCTAGAAAAATGCCTTGTTGTGCTGTTTTGGAGTGCGAAAATGATAACCGCACCAAAAATATTATCCGTGGTGCTATTTCATATCATCGGCAAGTCTTATTTTAAATTTTCTCTTCATCGAAATAATTTTTTTGTTACAAGAAACAAAAGTAAAACTTATATTGAGAATTGCAATATGGTCGCTTTTTGTTTAGAGAACTAAATTAATAACTCCAATTCGTCGTCGTATTTAAGTCGAGTTATTGTTCGACAAATTTCGAACCAATTCGTGGTCCTTAATCATGAGATTCCGCGGCGGTGACTCGACGGAAACTGCGCGCCAAAGCCCTGGCAGCCCGATCAGAGAGAGACACAAATTGTACCATATGCCTGCAGTTTCATCTGCATCTTTAACCTCCAAAACCGAAACGCAGTAATTACACTAATGGCGGCAGTAATTCTATAAAAAACTTTTTCGCAGCGAGCTAGTAGCAGTAGAGCTCCTTGTAAAAGAGTTCGTCCAGAGAAGTATTGCCACCTTAGAAAGTATTACCTTCTGCCGCCAAGCAGTAGTGTCAGCATTACTGTGTTCCGATTTTGAAGGGTAAGGGTGCTGGTGAAATTACAGGCACATGGGACTTGTCAACTTACGTCACACGATGACGGGCACAGTGGCAGTGCCCCTCAGATCTTTGCGACTTAAAGCTCTTGAGTGTCACTGCAACGAACGGGGGAAGAAGGCTACAACTCCGGTACCTATCTGTAAAATACAGAGGGTACTTGTACGTGCGCCCGGGACGGCTCACCCGAGGCACTAGCCTCTTGAGAACCGGATGAAGTCAGTGACAAGGGTCTGTGACAACCCTGTACACTGGCTGATCTGGGGTCAGAACTTAGAAGATTCCTGTGCACGCACAGATTATAGTGCCCTGCTCATATACTCTAAGGGTCGGTAGGGTGGGTCACTATAATAAAAACTTATGTGGAAAGGAAGGAGATGCCAATGTACAAGGTTATCTGTAAACCATAATCTATATAAAGACATTATTTCATATAGAAAATATAATGTATATTTTCTTTATGAAAGAAGGATGACGACATACCGTGTATTTTGTGACCCAACATTTTTGGCGACGTGCATTAATGAGACCTATCAATACGTGTGATTCATTATCAAAGCATCAAAAAAGCAAATTGAGTACAGCCTGTAGAAGCTGGGGATTATAAACTTGATATAAGTCATGTTTATAACATTATCCTGTATTTCGCTTCAAATATTTGGTCGTAGTGGCAGAAAACAACAAGTTTAAAGACTCAGAATTGCCGATTTTTAGTCTTCACCTGTAGCTGTAGCTATTCGCTTGCTGCACCAGGCCAACGTGTGGAGTGTACACCAACTATATCTACCTTATTATCTAGTAATAAGTTAAAGTTAAATGACAATCCGTGCAGTGTCATTTCTGCCACCCGGGGCCAACTTTAAATTTGTAGCCAGTGACGGATTTGCAGTCGTAGCCGCCCTAGGCCCCAGACCATGTAGTTAGTACCAGCCGCCCCTTTCTCAGCGCTCATCATATACCGGTAGACTACATAATGAATTTACTTTGTTGCCAACTTTTATCGAAATCGATTCAGAAATTTACTATTTAATAATTTTAACATTTTTCTAGAACATTGATTTGATAGATCTCTGTTAGGGGCGCACGCCAGTAAAGCACTCAGCCGGCATGATTTTTTTCCGAATTCAACATTTATGGTCATTTTTCAGTGAACTTACACAAAATTAAATAAATTATACACATAAACCTTGCTCATTAATCACTCTGTCTATTGGTGGAAACCGCATGAGAATCCATTTAGTAGTTTTTGAGTTTATCGCGATCAGACAGGCAGACAGACGCGGTAGTGATAATATGTAGTGATGTAAAATTATTATACGTATATAACATATCTAAATTGTATACGTAAAATGTACGAAAGTGATCTAGGAAGATTATTGTTACACGATGCGGTGCAGCGCGGCCCGCCATAATGTGCGTGAGCCTTTAGAATATTTAGGTACTTTGAGTTATTTCTTGTCATCATCAGTGAATTTTTTGTCACGATTGACCACTCTAGGCTCGGGCCTACTGGGCCTTAGGGCAAATCCACCACTGTTTGTAGCCCTCTCTATTTTCACTATAACAAAAGTAGTTCGTTTGGACAGGCTCGGTTCGATTGTGGTTTTATGTTCGCCTGTCACCTGTGTGTATATCGTTTTCTCAAATAGTGGAATTTATTTTCTAATTTTAAGTAAATATAATAATAATTTTCACTGGTTATGTCTGGCCGCCGCCCGGGGCTATGGCCTCCTGTGCATCCCACACTCTACGCCACTGCATCCGCGGAAGCTACTGCACATCTGGATGTTATGTCTTGCAAAGTCAACATTACTTCGTGTTTCAGATGAATCTGCAGAGAGCGACAAGATCAGCCTCACTCTCCAGAACCTGAGTGAAATGTTGCCATCAATTACTAAGAACAACCGGTATGTTCAATTATAATGAATGAATGAATGGCCATACACATTGTGATTAATTATTTATTTCTTGAGCATTAACTGAATAACTTTCTATTTAAAGTTAACAAGGTCTTGGTGTTTTCACCTCGTCCATACCCGAACCCGTCCCGTCCAGAACCGAAACGCAGTAATTCTCACATTACTGTGTTGCTATTTTACATTTATACCGTTGTATATGTTGTGGCACATCATGTGATTTTGTTACTATAATCAATTTTATAAACAGTTCTCACTCCAACTCGGAGAGCTCGGAGGGCACTGAATCTACTCAACGGCGTTCTCTCCTCGAAGGAGACGAGTACTCCGAGCAATGCCGCGCTCTGCATGAGATGTTCCCCAATACAGCACCGATGGAGGTACGTTATTAATACTTTGTTTTTAATACTGTCATCAGCGATGTGCTGATGACAGTATTAAAAACAAAGTGTACACTTTTGTTTGATTATTTCTTTCTTTTTTTTTTGTATTTTTGCTCATGTTTTGTGGTAAATTCACTATGTTAGCATCACCACACTGATAGCTGACAACACACATTATGTAAAACTAAATGCCTAAGTTAAAAAAATTGCGAGTAAATAAAATGTCAAACGAACTCATAAGTAAACCAAACAAACTCACAAGTAAACAAAACAAACTCGTAAGTAAACTCTAAGGTGCATACAATTCAAAAAAACGTATCATACATAACTCACAACGGCCACCTTCAGGCATGACTTGTGTTTAACGAGTATAAAAATGTGCTTTTTTTTAGATCAAACACTGCGTGTCTATAGCTCATGGCGACATCGAGCGCGCGGCCGCTACGCTCCTCCACCGCCGCGAGCAAGGCCAAGCTCTGTCCGCCTCGGCTCTGACTGCTGCCAAAGCACAGCCGCTCTGCAATGACGACGAGCTGAAGAACCGGATTATTGCTCGGTAAGTGTTCAAACACAGCGCTTTTCACAGAGCATATCGAACAAATTTAAATCAAACAAACTCAAATATGAGCCAAAAGTATTCTTTAATAAGACAAATAATTAATTTAGCTGAACATATTCACTACTGACAAACCTTGCTGAACAAATCAAGACGTAAGTCAAACAAACTCGCAAGTAAACCAAATAAACTCTTAAGTAAATCAAACAAACTCGCAAGTAAGTCGAACAAACTTGTTAGTCGTACAAACAAAGTGTATTTTTCATTGCAGCTATTCGTATGTTGACAAGAACTCTGACATGAAGGAGCATAAGCCGCTCGCTCCAAAGATCGAACCGAAGAAACTGGTCCGCTACCGCGACAACAAGATTGTATCGCTCAAAGGTGAGCGGTACACTGAGGTAAGTAATTTAGCGTGAAAAAAATATTAGCTATTGTTTTATACATACAAACCATAAGAAGTTTTTTAAAAGACAAAACTTTACGTAAATATGAATTTTAATAGATTTATTTTAACGATTTTATTATTATTCAACTGGTTTTACTTTTCTATAATTATCATAAGAACAACTAGATTATCAGTGACGTAATTGATTGCTTCTTTACGCCACTGTTAGACATGGATTTAGGGCATCTCGTCCAGAAGTAGGTCTCAACAATTTGCGACACTAATTCGACTACGCACATTTGAGGTTTATTGTATTTGTGAAGATAAACAATAACCATTCTTGTGTCTCCGTCAATAGGTACCGAAGTCCGGAGTCGATGAGGAGAACTTAAAAAAGCCGAAGAAATCCCATTGCCCTTAACCATTAAATCCTTTTCAGTACGGTGAAAAAGCGGACGCGCGTCCCGCACCTTCCTCAATAGATGTTGTGTCTCCTCACGCACGCCCAAGAATTAGTATAATTACTTGCGTATTTATGACTTTAATGAGCGCTCTCACGACTTTCATGCGTCAGCTTTCAACTTGGAAATGTCAATTTTTGACTTACAGGTATGAAGTTATGACACGCAAATATGAACTTTCTAGTTATGAATTATCATGTAATATGAGCGCTCTTTTGACATATATTTGCGTATTAAACGCATTATTAACTAATAAGCGATTAAACTTAACAAACTACGAGTTTTCAATGTGTAAATTTAGTCAGACGTACAAATACGTCGTTTTGCTTTGTAGTTTAGGCGTAGTTTTAACTTATTTGGAAAATAAGAATGTAATTTTGAATTACAAAAGCGCAACGTCATATGTATTATCAAATAAATATCAGAACGACTTGCGTAAATTGTCGAGTTACTTGCGAGTTCGGTCGGGTGACTTGCGAGTTTGTTCAACTAACTTACAAGATCGTTCGACTGCGTTGAGCATATGTTCCGTCATGCGCAAATTGTGCCCTGCTGACTCGTTTGTGCGTGAAAATGACCGAAAATGTTCGACTAACTTGGAAATATGTCCGAATGACTTACAAGTTTGTTCGACCAACTTAAAAAAGTGTTCAACTAATTTGCGTAACTTGCGTTTATGTTCAATTTGTAAGCGCAAACTTTTGACTTGCCCTTGCAGCGCTTCGACTGCTATGGGCAATAATTTTAATCTTGGGCGTGCGGTACGTGTCCGTAGTGTAAATGTTAGTGTAGTAAACAATTCGCGTGATTTATACATTATTTTGAACGCGGCGTTCTTTTACCCGCTTTTTTCCGGTACTGATCATTTGAGACTTACAAAGTCACATTTTTTTAGTTTTAAGTTTAACTTAATTTGCTTATTTATTGTAATTATTAAGCTATACTGCAGTATTAATTCTATGGCATCTAGGGTAGGTACAAAATGTGTTCAGATACTAATGAATTTAGTGACGAAGTGCTTGGAATGTTGTGATGCCATAGGAGGTTTTTCCAGTTACTTAAAATTCATTAAAAGGATGTACCTCATATTTTTTTGTTGCACGTACTTTAAGATATCACATTTTGAAATCAGTAAAAATCAGAATCGTCGCATGATTTTCTTACGGTTTTATGACAAACTTATAATATTTAATTCTGACAATTTGAATGAGATCAGCTACAAATCTCGAAATTTCAATTTCTATGCACACAATTTTAATAGGTACTCCTACGCCTATGCACTTGGAAAGTTTTTAAATACTGCATTTAAAATATACTCATTTAACTTAAGTACAGAATTTAAAAACTTGAGTTCAACACTTAAGCAGAGTGTTTTAAGTAACTTAAACTGTTTAAGTGTCATATTCCATATAGTTTTAAGGTATGGACCTGTGATTTTTAATTGTTATACTTTGAATATAATTCCTATAAAGTTTTTATACTTATCTGTGATTCTGATGCCATATAATGTTTTAAAAGGCGAGTACGACTTTTTAAGTTTAGATATATTATTATTAGTTATAATAATTCACAATTTTATTTATTTTACTATTTTTAAGACACTGGATTTGTGATTTATATGATTTTAGTTCCTATAGGCAGTGTTAGTGGTTCTGATAAATGGAAAATACAGACTCAATTTGTATGGCGCTGCCTTTTGCTTATTCACTCTTCTACAGAATCTGCTCGACTACAATCCCCACAATTTTTGAATTTTTGACAATTTGTTCTATACTACTTGGTGATACGACAGAGTTTGCAATACTGTTTTCGGTTATCTACATCGAAGCCGTTTTTCAATGTAATTCTTACATTCCATAGACAGTGCACCCGGGGTCAGCGCTACTCTGGTTCTCCAAGCGCAGGAATTTTCTAGGTTGTGTAGCAAATTTATTTATAAATGGAACCACTAACACGATCTATTACTTTTTTAAAAATATACACCTTTTTCGAATAGACTGACGTGTCAATATTGATCTCATGCAATGAGGGAAGAAATCTTATTATTGTTTTAAACGAAATTGATTGCTCTAAAAGACAGCTAGCTAGGCTAGTCAATCATTTATTTTAGAAGCTCTTACCTTTGAGACCACAGATTTTTTAATAACGATAAAGTTTGTTCGAGTTATTATTGAGTTCGTTTTATTTTAGAATTGTTTGGGGTTACTTGAAAATTTGTTCGTGTTTACGAGTTTGTTCGACTTACTTAGTAAGTATTTAGAAATGACTGTTTTGGTAAAATCGTGAATATGGTCACTAGAGGTTTGAATTTAAGAATTGATAGAACTCCTCTATAACAACAACCTTTAGGGGTTCTCAGCAATGCAACGCGAAGAAATTTGCTGTGGTGTATTAATTTGTGTAGAACTCCGTTTATTTTAACAACATCCAAAATACATCTAGCATTTTCTCTAACATCTTGGTCAGGGTGACATAACTAAGTCATTTTGACATCAAAGGTAAGGGCTGTGACAAATAACAATGTATATGTAAATTAACCAAAACAAAAACCATTTTTTAAAAAGCCAAAACAATTGGTGCTGCTCTATTAATGAAATGCCAAAAAAAAAAACTAATTCGAGTATTTTTCTCCTTAAAAACGCACTATATTTTTGTCTCTTAACTTTGGCTTTAAATTACTGCTAATTTTGAAATGTAAGAGCAGTTTTTGAATCTCAAATACAGGGCCGTTTCGAGGAATAAATGAAATTTTAACAGCTAATTCAAGCTTGTTACAACGTTAAAAATATTAATAAAAAATTTATATCGTATTTATAAATAACGCCAAGTATACAAAGTTTATTTATTTAGGCCCATGTTAATCAACACCTTCGTATTAAAACGAACTTAATTGATACCATCTCAAGTGACCAACAACTTTTCAAGTTATTGGATAGAACTTAATAACAATCTTAACAAAGCTTAGTGAACTCTAACGAAAGTTGTGACAAATATCATCATCAACGCATTTTATACGTCCCAATGTTGGGCACGGGTCTCCTCTCAGATGAGGATTTAGGCCATAGTACACCACGCTGGCCCAATTCGGGTTTGGGAATTCACACTTATTTCGAAGGTTGTGAACCTTCGTTCATATGTGTTTCTTCACCGAAAAGGTCATGGTAAATTTCAAATTAAATTTCGTACAAAAAATTCGAACCCACGGCCTCTGTTTGAGAGGCGGTAGGTCAAATTTTTATGCTAGCACGGTCTTAAATTGTAACGAACAAATCTCAAATGATATACAATCTTTGATTAATCGGTATTCTACAATATATCTTGGAGATTGCGATGGAATTGCACGATTTACCGTCTTCCTCTTTCCACCATCGGGGTACTAGACGTAGGCTGGGGTTCCACCCGTATGTTGTGGATATTCTAAGGATTCGCATGAAACATTACGCTTCCACATTAACATGGCGAACGGGTATGGAGTGGAATTCCCTGCCTGCAGATTTATTCCCTGAACGATAACTTGGGCCCTTTAAAGACGAAAATGAATACTATTTTGAGTGTGCATGCTCCATCATCGTCACTTTCCGTCAAGTGAGGTGGAAGACAAAAGTGCAATTATTTTTCTATAAAAAAAAATTGCTCTCATAGATATTTGAAATGGATTTATTAATATGGACCTAGATACATTTCTTTGATAACAGTTAGACTGTTTTTTTTTAATTTTTTATTGAATTGATATTCAATTATTTTTTGTGAAATTACTCCACTGGTTTGTTATAATTATTTATACAAAGATCGAACACTCAGAAAAAATTCCTTCGATCCGGCCGGATTCGAACCGACGTCTTCTAGCTTACCGTGCCAGACGCTATACCAACTAAGCCACGGAACGAACCAGCGGACCTCACGAATTTTTCTATGTGGTTGCGTCGTGTCTTTGTATTTGTTTTTCAAAGACTTTAGTCGTAGCGCCATCTATGACAAATCCATGATAATATAATAAATTTATCTATCTTTGTATTAATAATTATAACAAACTAGTGGAGTAATATCACAAAAAATAATTGAATATCAATTCAATAAAAAAATAAAATACAGTGAATAGCGACATCTCTCGCGCGGACTGGTAGCTGTAAAGGTACTAACTAGGTGATAAATCTTTCATAGATTTCTCATAGATGGCGCTACGACTAAAAAGTCATTGAAAAACCAAATACAAAGACACGACGCAAGCACATAGAAAAATTCGTGAGGTCCACTGGTTCATTCCGTGGCTTAGTTGGTATAGCGTCTGGCACGGTAAGCTAGAAGACGTCGGTTCGAATCCGGCCGGATCGAAGGAATTTTTTCTGAGTGTTCGATCTTTGTATTAATAATTATAACAAGTTAGACTGTTACTTCTTCAAATGGCATTGACACCGGTACCAACATGCAAATGGAAGGAGACGTTTAGTAATTTTGGAATCATGAATGATATTATTGAACTTGATATTTTTAATCGTTGGTGTATCTCGATCCGACCCTGAATCTCATGTGTATGGCAGCTAATATTTGGTAATGTTGATCGATAAGTATGCCAAGAATCTTGCCAGTTTATTAATAAACTGGTACTTTTTTAAATTATATAATGTTACTTTTTAACTTGTGTATTTTTTAAGTAGAGTCTTGAAGAGTTAATTATGGACTTTTGGCTTTGAATTGAAATTTTATTATGAGGTTTGGTTTCAGTACCAACGCCATTTTAGTCTATTTAACAAGAAAAAAGACATTTATGGTTCATTTTCAATCGTCATTAACGAGCGCTTTTCTTTTTTTTTTTCATTTCAATAATCGAACAAAGAATATGTGGTGGTGTAGAAAACTAGAAAGTTTTGTGGGAGGTACCGGACTTGCTAATGGCGTCATCCGCCATAATTTTTATATTATTTTTACAAAACTACCGTACATAGCAATTTTTGAATCATCGATTATTTCGATGGGGCCATAAATTTAGAAAAAAAAAGTATATGTGGGTGTATGAACTGAGGTTGGTTCTTTTAAATGACATTTAAATTTTTTTTTAAGAGTGAAAGATAAAAAGGAACACATACCTTTATAACTACTCCTTTTTAACTTTTCAAAACTTTAAAACTCTTTAAAAATAAATAATTTCAAAAAATGGCTGACTCCCATACAAAACACAAGCTTTAATATTATACATGTTTTGTATA